AAAATAGACACAAAAGTTGGTACCCTTTTTCTAACCTCTCTACTGGAGGACCTTGGTAATCAAAACCCGAAGTGAAGGCTTGGGCATGAGCATCCCAACGTATCGGCTGCCCTTCTCATTATCTTGGGTAGATTTCCAGGGGCCTACAGCATACTTCGCCCCCTCGCGAGTCCAGGTGGCGCCCAAAGGCGCAGGCGCCGGGGGCAGTGGCGCGCCCCACGTGGCCATCTGCATCGGGGAGGCCAAGAGCCAGCCCGCGCGCTGCCAGGCGCGTGAATCGAGCCCGTGAGTCGAGTCAGTGGCTGCGCCGCGCGAAGAGGAAGCCTTTGGAGTTGATGCTGTTTGGAGTTCAGGTCAACATTTGTGTAGTGTTTTGTTTAACACATATTCGTTGGCTGTTTTTGTTTAAAATGTGTTTGTTGGGATTGTTTTGTTCTTTCGATTTTCTTTTCTTTGCTTTCTCTGTTTTTTTAGAAAAAGAGAGGAATTGTTTTGAGGGTACCCCTTTTGGAATGGTTTTGTGATAGGAAACCAATAGAGGACACCAGCCATTGTGTGGTGTCCCCTGTTTCAACACACCATTCCAAATGTTTCGTGATCATTCGGTCTTGGTAGCTCATTGATAAGTATTTGGTGGCTTGGAAACCATTCAGATCCAAACTTGACCCCAGAAAAAGTTAGGTAAACTGGGATTTGAACCACTTGGGTAACCATTCGGGAATGGGTCTCAGGCAATCATGGGTTCTTCGGCATGAACCGATTGCGATTTCCGTAAGGAAAGCCACAAGGTGTCTTATTTGAGAACCAGCAAGTTAATTGGTTGGAATTCGAACATCCCAGTTTCTGCAAAGCTAAGGTCTGTGCTGACCAAAAAGGGAGATATTGTACAGCTGAAAATAAAACCATGTTTTTCACTTATACACACCCGAGTGGGGCGTCCCTTTGTTTGTGTGTCTTTTCTGGTTTCAGTTCTTTCTCGTTGTAAGGTTTCTGTTTTCTTTGGGGAACTCCTCTTTAGGGGATGATAAGGGAATCCAATAGGAAACCAGACATTTTGCCTCTTGGGTACGGGTTTCTCTTGAAGCCAACACTCTCGTGAGGATTGTCACCTCAGGTCTTTAGGCTCGACAATCCCACCCGGGCTCGGGCTCCCAGATGGGTCTTGACCGCTCCAGCTGAAAACCTGACTTGTCCCAAAAGTGTCAATTTGCTTAAACACTTCTGTTTGTTGTCTTCGTGTATTGGTGGCTACCAACATAAAAGGCTAAACCTTTCAACACCTAGGTACAACCGCATCGGTACCTTTGCGAACTCTTCCCAAGCACCGGAGCGGTGCTGAGGCTGCTCCGATACGGCCAAAGCTGACCGCCTGAACTGCATTTTGTTCCACCAGCCCAACGAAAGTGCTGCCCTGCTTGCTGAATCTCCAGACTGTACAGGCATCAGGAAGCCACTTAAATGAGGCTTACGGCAACACCCGTTTTTGAGGGTGCGAGGCATTTTGTTCAACCACCCCCTACTCCAAAGTCTCCAAATACGATTTGTTTTTTGGGTACGAGGCAAACATTCACCCCAGCACCCCCCTCGTTTCAATGACGGATTTTGATATCAGCCATAGTCCAAATCCCCAAGCCGTCAAACGTGCAGACTTTGGAGGGTGCGGGCTCTGGCTGTGCATCAAATTTGTGCGAGGGAAATCGTCGTTTTCCTTGTGGTTTCCCGCAACAACGGGTATCCCAGACCTTTTGGTTCTTTGGTTCCCGCCATGGGGACAAGCGCAGCTTCACCACAATTCCTCTTTCGCCAATTCTTGACGCGTTCGTATGGAAAGCCGTCCAGAGGTGTCCCACTAGCAAAACAGTTCTCCAATTATCCACCACTTCTTAGGCCATATCTGTTGAACAACCTGGCTTTCCATAGCAAACACCTCCCTCCTGGTTACACTCTACAATGGCTGCAAGTTCTCGTTCAAAGGGTCACAACCAGATGCTAATCGGTTTGTTGGGTTCTGCACGAAGATATTTTCGTCGGTTTGGAGAACCCATTCGCAATCTGCAGACGCCCACTTTTTTGCGCAGTCGAAATTCCTTCAGCTTACGGGTTGACCTCCTTCCCTTCAAGTGGGTACTTGGGGGAGCCTACAGGCACAGTTGCCAGCTTAGGCCACAGCTACGAAGAACTTCTACAAGGCGAGCTGAAACGAAAGCTTTTGGCCGGAAGGTTGCATGGCAAATGTCCCCCCATGTGTCTTTTTTGAAAACACTTGTTTGGGAGGAGTCTTCCCTTCAGGTGTTCAATTGCCAAGTTGGGCGTGTCTTCGTTGTTTTGAAGCCCCTTGGAGTATAGATATTGAGGTGGGCCCGTTTTGCACTGTAGCTCATTTTGAGGATGTCCAGCTTTCATGGTGTACAGCCGCTCCCCGGAAACCAGTGACCCTGTTGCTACTACCCCAGTTGTAACCCTTGTGGCAACCCAGTTGGGTTCAACATCCCAGGGGGGGACAGATTCTTCCCCTACAAATAGGCCCTGAAATGAGACGCCAGTCGCGCAAGTCGGTGTGGGAAGCTTTGCGTCCTCTTTCCTACGGCGCCCGGAATGCGCTGCTTCAATGCTGGGGATTGGTCTTTTGCCTGGTACTCAGAAGGTTTAATCCATATCGCGGTGCAATGATCGACGTGGATTTTTTGTAGCCATCCCCTTTGTCAATGCGATGGACCAGCATTTGTAGAGCAAGACTCATATGTGCGTCGACACAGGGCTTTCCAAACGTGGTTTTCCCTTAGATAGCTTTCCGCAAACCTTAAAAAGGGCCTCTCAAGAAACACAACCCAATGCTTGAATCGCCCAAGTGGTAGGCGCACAAACGCAAAGCATAAATGCTGTCCAGCAAAGGGCCCCCCATAGAATTTACACCCATATGAGGCTCTGTACCCCCCCAGAAAACAAAGAAGATCTACTTCCAACTTTTCCCTCAAGTCAAGACTCATGGCTCCTGAATGAGAGATTCTCCAATTTTTTGAGGCACCGCTCTAGGATTTGATTCCCATTCTTTTCAACCATCGTGCTTTCCAACAACCGGGTCTGTTTCCCCTGGTGTTTTGATGGTTTCCTGAAAAGAAGGATCCGCCTAGAATCGCCCGAAATGGAAGAATGGAAGGTTATGGGGAAGGTACCTTCCATTGCCTTCCATTCAGAAAACGGTTACCTGGAAAGAATGGAAATGGAAATGGGGAACGTACCCCTAGAATCGCCCCGTGTGGGTGGATTCCCTTTGGTTCGCCTGGACTCCAAGGGTGCCGAGCCTCCCAACTAGAGGTACCCGACAGTTCCCAGGCCGCTCGATGTGGGCTTTTGTTTCCTTGAAAGCTGCTCTCAGGCTTCCATTTGCTGAAAAGGTGTGATTTTCCCCTGTTGGTTTTGAAAGGAGTTTATCACTACTGGACAAATATATATATATACATATATATATATATTTGTCCAAGGCTCTTCACCAAATGGAAGCAGGCAGATGTCCCAAAACGGACCCAGGAATTGGGTGCCTTGAAGGGGAGCAAGGAAACAGCAGCCGCCGCCAAAAGGTACGCGGGCGCCTGCAAGCATGGCGCCAGACTCGAAGAGATTTTGTTCTTATGCCAGCAATGGCCAGGGTCAAAAGCCAAATCGTACCCCCCGGTAAACATCCCAATTCAACCACTAAAATAGGTTCTAAAATGGGTGGTGAATCCACCTACCCCAAAATGGTACCATTGGTTTTGAGCCACAGCCAAATACGCCGCTAGACCACTTGCTTCCATTTGCTGAGATGAATAATATGTTGTACTTCCCCTGTTGGGTTTTAAAGGGAATCTATCACTACTGGAAATACGTGTTTTACTTTTTCCCAGGGACTTAAGCAAATCGAAGCTTGAAGATGTTCTTGCTGGTGCTCAGCAGGGAATGAGACATGGAATGACCCCCACAAACCGTCCCTTGTGGTTTCTGGGGTAGACTTAGGATAAATTGTCCATTTTACCAGCGACTCACAGGGAAGCAAACACTAGAGAGAACATTCTACAACTGGGCCGAAGTCTAATCATGGCTTCCTCTATTCGGGAATCCTTTTCCGGTTCATTCCCAAAACCCGGACTTCTCATTCCCTTGCAGGCGCAGACCGCGGGCACCTCAGCGGTGAAATTTACCACTGGTTGGCCAGGATGGCTCGCTGCCGACCTGATAAATTACTTCTTTGTTGCATTTTGCCAAGGGATGTTAGGACTGCAACTTTTGGCCAGCGAATGGATGTTTTCCGAAAGCAACCGAGAGTTTCTGTACTTTGTGCTTTCTGGGCTGGGACCATGTTGAGGCAAGCAACACTCAGTTGTTCAGTGGCACCCTTTTTCCCCCTTTTTTTGGTGGCTGCCCCACTAAAAATGGCCTTCCCCAAAAAGGGTTTCCTTTTCTTTCCCGGGTCACTGAACAACTGAGAACAGGCTTGGACTTGTTTCCACCCAATGCACTCTGAAAGTAAGTTGGCCATCAACCTCTTCATAGGGGCTTTCGACAAGCATGATGAGGGTTCAGATTGAGACAGATCCCTTTTCTTTTGCTGGTTCTCAGAGAGGCATTTCTAGAGTTTTGGGAGTCTAGGGATGAGGATTGGGTCAGTTCGGGGGCATTCCAACTTCATGACTCAAGGACCCGGAAAACTGCTGTCCTTTTTGCAGCGCAAATCCTTGAATCTTTGGGGATAAGAGGCATTCACAAAGCCCCCGGAAACTAGCAACCAAAATAAATAGGGACTCGCAACCCACTTCACAAGTGGCTGGTGCACAATGCCCACTATAGGGGTTGCTTCCCCATTCTTTTCAACCATCGTTCTTTGCGCAAACCCGCCGTTTTCCCCGGGTTTCTGGCGATTTTCTTTCTGTCTGATCCCTGGACATGGGACAGGTTCTTTCTGGAACAAGGTCCAAGGTGTCCCCTGACCAAACAACCAGACCTGGTCTCCAGCGCAGGTCACCATGTCCTGGAACCACGTGGGCACCGCCGTGCTGGTGCGAGCGGCCACCGAGGCGCGCGGGTTGCCGAGGCACCGCCAAGTTGGGATCCAGAAGGAAGCCGAGGGCGTCTTAGACGGGTCCCAAACGGGCGTCCCATTTTGAGGAGAGCGCCTTCCAGTTGCGGGAGCCCTCTAAGGAAGGGTGAGATGCTAGGCCCAAGTTTGGCAGCCTCAGTTTGTGTCTGATTTCGGAGCATGGCTTTGTAGTTTTCGGGTGATATTGAGCCGCTGTGACCAGCTGTACCTTCCTCATTCTCAGGGATCCTTCTCCTCAAGAACTAGGCACAGCCCCTGGAAACCGGGAGATTCTACTACAGAGAACGAGGTGAAGAGAGTGGGGAATCAAGCCGTAGAAGAGTTGCTTGCTCATCCAAAGCCTTTGCAGCTTTCAATTTCTGGCTCCCATAGGAAGGGTGGACACGATGTTTCATGTAAATTAGCAGAATCCAAACCGATGTTTCAACCGTGGGGTTTGGTCATCTAGGCGCGGCTCGTTTCGGGCAACTTCACCTGACAAGTGTCAATGAAGCCGAGTGCGTCGCTGCGGCATCGCTCGATGTGCACACTGCGCCTTGCCTCCAGCGCAGAGGCTGTTCCTCATAACTCTTCTCTGCACACCTCGCAGGGCAGATGCGCTGGACGTGTTTGAGCAGTCCGCGAGTGAGCGATGCATGGCAGACCGGCAGACGCCGGCAGACCTCGCGCGCGGGGGGAGCCAAGCCGCGGCAGGTTTGGTGCAGCCTTGCCAGGATGGCGCGTTCCACGCACCTATCAAATCAAGCTGGATAGTTTGGGTCATTTCGGAGCTCGGGGGGGAGAAGAAAACCCAAATGTTGGGTACTTTATTACAACACTTGATTTCCAAACCTCAAAAGAAGCCGGGGCAATATGAAGGGCTCGAACGGTTTTGAGCTGCATTTGAAGCTCCAAGTGAGGCACGGTCCTATGCAACCACCCCCAGACTCGCTGCAAACCGCCATGGGGTGTTTGTTGTTAGCCCTGTCCCCCCGGCCTCGCCACCGCAATTATTGAATATCAAAAGCCCGGTTGATTTGGATTGGGAGGTCCATGGGAGTCTAGATAACTGGAAAGACGCTTCTGCTACTCCACCCCAAGCACCATCGGAAGGTTTTGGTTACCTCGGGTCTGTTTCGTTTCTCGCTTCGGGCAGGGCGCCACTCGGATTCCCCCCGCCCCCCCCCCCCCGCGCCCCCCCCCGATTTTCCAGCGTTGGAACCCTTTCAGGATCTTACAATACCGTACCGGCCACAGCCTGTTCGCCCACAGCCTGTTTTTGTTCTTGTAGGTCTAAACCCGGTGCAATTTGTTTGTTTCGGATGTCTCAACACCCATATTTCCAACAGCTAGGGGTGACTCGCATGGAACCTACAAAAAGAGGCATTTTGGGTTGACATGGACTTGATTTTCGACACAGCATTGCAGGACGGCAACACCGGGAAGACCTACTACGAAGAGGCCAGCCTCTACTTCCTCCGCGCGGATGGAGAAGAGGCCGAAGAGCTTGTGGCCTGGTGGTTATATATATATATATACATATATACATATATACTATATGTATATATGTATATATGTATGTATGTGTATTTATATATATGCACATACATTTGCATGCAGACATGTACGTGCAAACAATGTGCATATATGTATATATATATACATATATATATACATATATATATACATATATATTTACACACACACACATGTGTGTGTGTGTGCGTTGCTTTTGAGGGTCCTCCTTTAGGGGCTGGTTTGAGGGAAAACTGTTGGTGACAGGATTGGCGGGGACGGGCATGAATCCGTTGGGGGTTTCGGATAATGTGAGTGTGTGTGCGTGTGTGTGTGTGTGTGTGGAACTTGTGGATACGGGAGCTTCCAGAGTCTTGAAGGCACGACTCTGAAACGTTTTGGCACCCTTTTGGGGGCTGGTTTCCTGGAAGTCTTGCGAGAAAGGCCTTTACCGGTCTGTCCCCAGACAAGGGAACCGGTGCAGCACCTTTTCTGTCCTGCAGTTATTTTGTGTTTGTTGTTTTTGTGTTTTATCCTTGTTCTTTTCGTTTGCCTCTTCGCACCCCGAAGCGAGCACAGGAGTTTTTGTGTACTTCCGCAAAGTCCAAATAGCAAAGCTTGCTTCAGCTGGAGACGTTGACACCGCCAGGTGTGTGTGTGTGTGCTGCTACTAGTTTGTCTTGCACTCTTGGGCGGACTCTGACTATACGGGGCGGGGGGCGTGTCTTTGTGTGTGTGTGTGTGTGTGTGTGTTGTGTTTGTGTGTTTGTGTGTCTCCCCATGTGCCAACCCCTGTACTTCAGGTTGAGGATGGTTCTAGACTGCAGGGATTCTAGACAGCCAACCATTGCAAGGCGTCTTTTCAAAAGAGCCATGACCGTTGCCCGAGGTTCGACCATGGCGCATGTTGATCAGAGTCTGCCTTTACCGGCTTTCGACAGACCGCGCTGGTCGCGGCGGCGGATGGCGGGCCTGTACACGACGTGCAGTGGAGCCCAACGCAGGCCGGGAATGATTGAAGCTCTCTGTGAGGATTGAAGTGGGAATCCCACACACGCATCACTCAGGTCCCAACCAATCATTGGAAACATGCACTTGGGGTCTTGGAGGGATGCTGGAACTTAGAATGTTGTCGCAGGTTCTTCAATTGGAACGCCCCGTGTTTGGGATGCTGGAAAACCAATGTTTCACATGCAACCTACAAAAAGCATCTATATTGGGTGTTTATGGATGTCGCGGTTCTCCCAAATCGACCTTTTGAATCGAAAACAGTCATTTGGTTGAGTCTCAAAAGAGGCCCCTGAAATGCCAACGACCGTTGCTTTCCTTTTAAACGTCCAACATGGGGTCCACCAAACTACCTTTCCTTTCATTTCCACTGCCTTCTAGGCAGAGAGAAAGACGAGAAATTTCGTAGGCTTGGGCCACATGTTTGGCTCGAGCACCTCCGGTCAGGATCAGTTGTGTGGCGCCTGTCTGTTTGGTGGCTTCCCCAAGAAAATGGTCAATCGGTTTACCCCAAAGTGGTTCCCTTTTTCTACACTTCCTGAACAACTAGAATCAATGACACCCTTGGTAAAGGTGCTGCGAGTTCCTTCTGAAGGTAATGTTGACTCCAAATTAGTCAACCTATATTCACTCTCGGGATGTCCCCTCCAAGTGATCCGGATCCCATCTAAAAGCTCTAGAATCGGACATGCTTAATTGACATCAGCCAGGGGTTCATTGAACAACTGAGTTCACATCGTGCTAAACTTGTCCCGCAAGAACATTGCCAGACGTAACTTTGTTTTTTGGCCCTTTCGGGTTTCCTTCCTGTTTCCGTTTGCGAGGGAGCTTTTTGCAGATCGAAGTCTGGCCAAATGGGTATGTGATGTGTCAAGGATACCCCACCCTTTTTTGGTATTCGTTTCTCCTTCCCTTTTACACCCCCATGGTCCAATGGTAGCCTCAAAGAACCACAACCTCAGTGGCTTTGTCGCCGGGAACCTCAAAACTGGACGGTGTTTTTTTTGGTTTCCCTTTGAATCAGTCCCAAAATGCTGCCCCCCCCCCTCAAAAAAGAAACCGCAGTCTCACCAGGATGAGTTCCTGCTGCTTCACGGGCAGCATCCTTGCCCAGCAGCGCTCTATGAGGGCCGCAAGGCCTACATGTTGAGTCGTGGGTTGGTGGGTTGTGTGTATGTATAATGTGTTTGTCAGCTTGCCCTGTCTTTTTGTTTGTTTGTTTGCTTGGTTGTTGGCCTGTTGCTTGGTTGCCTGGTTGTTTGGTTGGTTTGCCTGGCCTGGCCGCGTTTGCCTGCCTGCCCGCTACTTTGCAGTTTTTTGTTGTTTGCTTGCTTGCGCCGGTGTGTGCGCAGACGCACAAATGATTTTACCCACCTCAAGCGGGGCGGGGTTAAGGGCCCTCAGTTCCGCGTAGCTTTCCCGGAACAAGTCCTGAATTCCGCTTGTCAGTTGGGCGCGGGGAAGGCAAGGCACACAGATGTTCTGGCTTTCCTTCCCGAGAAGCCAAAGGGAAATTGTTGAAGTTGGCGGTGGCCTCTTTCCCTTCTCATCGATTGAATTTGTACGTCATACGAAGCCCTATGGAAAGCCCCGCAAAGGGGTCCCGAAGGTGTCCATGTGTTTATAGCCACCTGGCATTAGCTAGGACCCCCAGTAGTGCCCTGTTACCCTTTTTTGGGAGGAGGGTTCCCCTACATAGAACCCTTATTCTAACCTCTCTACTGGAGGATTTGGCATTCACCCGAGCTCACCAACTCATGAAGCTCACCCATGAAGGTCCAATGAAGGTCCATTTCCCTGTTCGGGATATCTTTTCCAGGGGGCAAAATGGACCATTGGACAGTCATTGGGCTGCCAGGCGCTTGATACACAGAAAGCTCAACGTGAAGTTGGCATTAAACAAAAAACACGAGGCTATCAAGGGGGCCAGCTGAAACCCACTCAGAGAAGACGCCCTCACACTTGTTATCTAAAGAGTCTTTGAGAGCGGTTGCCCGGCACCGTCCACACTCCGTGTTCGATGTTTTGTTTTTCCTCAACAGCTGAAAGCTTTGGGGTCTCAGCCCAGGATAGGCTCCGGGGTGGTCCGTGGCGGTAAGGTTCCACGAGACTTCCACCAGGGTTCCCATCGGAGCCGCAGGGCAGCAAGCGGGTGGACTTCGGCGCGGCCTTCCGGAACACCATCAAGCGCCTAGCACTTCGAGAACCGTCCTACGTCCCCCAAGGATCGTGCCAACTTTGACCGTTTCCTTTTTGGGGGGAGGGTTCCCCGACTAAAATCGAAATCTTTCATTTGCTGAAATGAAGATTGTTGTTTGTTCCCCCTCTTGGTTTTAAAGGGAGCCTATGACTACTGGACATGTTTCTATTTTTTCCAGGGGGCTTGAGCAAATGCAAGTAATCAAAACTCGAGGCGAAGGCTTAGCACATGACCATCCCAACGTATCGGCCACCCTTCTCATTATTTTTGGGGTAGATTAGATTTCTTTAGTACCGAAGAGTCAGGTGGAAGGATTTCAGAATAATGTTGACCCCATATTGATCAATCCCAGTTTATTAATCTGGGGGTGTCCCTGGGTTTAGTGGGAAATCCTCCCTTTTGGAGGGGAACACCCTCTAAGAATAGACAGGGGTTTAATTATTTGGGGTCAACATTACTTGAGTTTTAAGTCATAGTTGCAAAGGCAGTCGGGTGCTGGTAACTAGCAACTCACCTCCAAGGCTTCCATTTGAGCCCGGGGAGCCTCTTTGCAGGGAACCCTTTGTTGGGCGGCTTTTTGCGGTTTGAACTTGGACCTGGAACCCTTGTTCTGGAGGGTTATAATGGCAACCACCGCCTTCAAACCACTTGGAGTAAAGCTGACTTGAAGTCAGCGGCCAGAAAAAGGATGCCCCTTTCTCCCTGCCTGGGTTCGCAGCACTCGTAAGTGGCGAACGCCACACGGAAAGGTGGCTCACAAAAAAAAAGGTGGGTTGTAACCATATTGGTGACCGACCATTAGGTTAGCGTATGGGGAAGTTGGAGGTTGGGAATGCTGGTTTGTCTGTTTTTTGGCAGACTGAGACGGACGATGGATGCTTTCTCCTTGTTTTCTTTTCGAACAAGGTCTCGCAAGGTTGCATCGCGGAGGCCAGGGAAAGACTTAGATGGGATGGACGCGGTCTGCTTCTTTACATCCCTTCAAAGCCATTTCGTTGTCACTACGGCAACTGGTTCACCAAGTTTCCTTAGTGCTGACATTCGCTCTCACCCGGATGATTCGACTTGGAAAAAGACCCGCTATCAGGTTGTCTGGCGGATTGCAGCTATGAAAGCCGAGCGGGGCTCCCCCTGAATAACCTCTGGAAACAAGGGTTGTGCTGTGCGCCTCAAAGGCTCAAAAGGCACAATGCGCATGATACGGCCTCACGAAGCGGTTTTGAAAAATCCTTTCGTTTGAGTCAAAGGAGGGACTTCCGCTTTGTGGGGGGGTTCCCCACCATTGGACCTTCGCTTGTTCTGTCCACGCCTTGCTTTATGTGAGATATACTTATCGGGACCAAAAAGCCGCTTCACCAACTGAAAGAATGCCTCGACTTTTGTCCAACTCAAGTGCTGTCCAAAAGGCCGACGTTGAGGGTTGCTGGTCGGAATCGCTGGTTGCAAGTAGCAGCTGACCCGGGCCAAAGCTTGAACCGCTGAAAGATTGGATCTGCCAGAAAGCCGAATCAGGAAGAACCGGCTCTCTGTTTGAGGAACGAACCCCCTTTTTGGGGTTCCTGGAAGCAATTTACACAGAGCAATAATCGCGCAAGCGCAATTGGGAGCAAATGGAGGTCGGCCGTTCCCGAAAAGCCGAGGTGGAACAACTTCGGGCGCTTCTTCGTGCTGGGTGGCTACGGCCAGTTGCAACTCGTCAAAATGAATGGCTCATGCCAAATGCCCAGTCGTGACACTCAAACGATGGGATGACTCAGGCCCAGGTACCTTTTGCAGGGTATGATGTCAACTCCTGACAAAAGAAAGGTGCTATTCGTGTCCGGAGCGGGCGTGTCAACGAAAGTCATGAGGCCCTCAACAATGAATGGGTGGTTTCTTTTGGGTCTCGTTACACATCAAACAATTTGCAGGCTTGCGTCCTGAACCTTAAGGTTCTGTTTGGTGTCTGAATCGGGGCAAACCAAACCGCGTCGCCTTTCTTTCGATCTCTGGGCCCATAGCTCCGCCTTTTAATCAAGGCTACGGACAATTCACAAGGGGGGCGAGTTTCCAGGCAAAACGAAAGGACCACCGAAGCCATGTTGGAGGATACCCCATTTTCTGACACATACCGCATATTCGGTTCTGGCCACTCTCACCATCGTTCTCACCTATCCCCCAATCTGTGGGCTTTCATGCTGAATCTGTGGGTGTTCCTTTTTGCACAAAAGCACAGCACAGCACAAGTTTCGCCTTCCATCTGAGCTTTGGCCAAAGTATCCTGTAGACTCTTTTTCAGATCAGTTTGGGGTACGGGGCACATGGGTACTCCCTGAATTTCCCCACGCGAAACGAGGGATTCAAGCCCGAGTTGTCCCATGTTCGTTCCAACAGCTGCTTCAGAACGCCAAGGGCTGTCCAAGGGTTAGTCAAAGGCAACACCCCCCCATGCTCTATTTGCCAGCTTTTAGTTTGCGAGTATTTCACAAAACATGTTTTCCATGGTAGATGCATTGCGTTTATTCAGGGCTTGACGTCATAGCGTGCAAGCGAAAAGAAGGCGGGTTCTTGCCGAATCGCACACGTTTCAACGGCGTGCAATTCGGGATTCGGACATTGACAAGCGCAGAGTTGGGTGCAGGCTGCAAGCCATTTGGGATTTGAAAGCCCCAGAGCTACGGTTATTGCAAGAAAACAAAGCCCAAGCCATCGGTATTTGCGCTGGCCTCCTTGTTGGGTCTACAGCCCTTTGCCCGGAGATCATTCCCTAAGCAAGACAGTTGCGATCATTTGGACTTCTTATGACGAGCCTGCATTTCCATGGACAATCCCTGTTGTGGTAGTCAGGCGTACGGGGTATGTGCTTGGGGGTTACGGGTGGATTTTGAGCTTTCGCGAGGAAGGGTGACACTGACTTCTGGGACAAGGTGGGCAAGTCGCCTGGCTGCAAGTTCTTTCGGTGGCTCTCTGGATGTTGATCTCAAGGAACGACTGTTTGGACAGCACGTGGGGTCTTAACCTGGTCGAAAACGGCAGTCATGGGGGGGTCGGGGGGTGCAGGCAAGACTAGTTACAAAAAATACACAACACCTCATCCCTCCAGGGAATCCAAAGGGAGGTTGCAAGAAACAGCCCTTACGTGGTTGAGAACACGTCGTCAAATCACCTGACTCTGCGACAAATAGCCGAGGAAGGGATCCGCACCCAAAAAGACGCACCCATTGACCCTCCAACTGTGCGGGCCTCAACCATATCTTCCCCAATGGCAAGCCGTCGTAATATGTCGTAATATGCGGCGTCAACACATGGTCGACGAGCGGGCTCACAGAATCTATGACTTGGCCTTGTAAGCCCCGACCTTGTTTTGGCGAGCATTTGGTGAACCACGCCCAAAGCAGAGGACAATTTTCAGGGTGCCCTATGTTAAGCCTTATGTTTCTCCTTTTTGGGGTTTTACACATCACCCTTTGAGCCACTTTGGATGTTCCGCGGTTTGTTTCAGGCTCCAGATTGCTCCAAATACGCTCTGCCCCTCAATCAGGCCCCTTATTCAGTTTAGGTTTGCCATGACAGCCCAAAAAGTCGGATTTGTGTTTTGTCTTTGGTTAGGAAACCCAACTATTTTCCCACGACAGCTTCCACATGGAAAAGTCACACGAGTCGGGTTTCCGGACTTAGGAAGGTCATGGGCTCCAGCCACATGGAGCCTTGCGCTCAGATCTTTTCGCCCGTGGCTCTAGGGCGTTCTTTTGGGACGTGGCTCTAGCGCGGAATGTGGGATTGGCACCCCAAAATGGCCAGTTGTTCTTTTGATGCTTTGAAAAAGGAACCATCCAACGGGTGAGCACGACTTTTGTTTTTGTTTTTTTTGAACCATCCAACCAGGGAAATCAATCTCAAGAAAACGCTGGAAGGGTTTGGACCACGCACCGGCGCTCTCTTAGCTCCCAACATGCCCGATTGCCCACCCGACACCATGTTTTTTGTAAAGGGGGTCGCATTTTCCCGAAGTCGAGAAGATGTCACTTGTCCCGTTGGGGGCCTCATCGCTGTTTGCTTGCCAGTGCAATATTTTGCGGTGTTTAAAGGTTGGACGTGGGAGCCCTGCTGACAACACCAGGGGCCAAGCAAGAAGGGAAGACCAAGAGCCAAGAAGACAGGAGCTGGATGGGTCACGAAGAGAAGCGTGAACGCGTTTGTCAACATGTTTCTTCTTGACAATCCTTGATTGCAATCTTTGTATTTGTTGGATGCGTACCAGCAAGGGTTGTCAATCAACAAGTCCCAGAACGAGAGACTTTTCAAGGACAAAGTCCTGCAGCGCTTTCGCCATGATTTACAGAAACCCTGCACTCCCCATATAACATTGGAAGTTTAAGGGTGATTGATTGCAAACATGTTGGACTGTCGGAAATCCCGCACTGGTTCGGGGCGGGAAGCCTCTATCCTCTTTTTTGGGTGTCTGACACGCCGAGAATGTCGGCGGACATTGGAATAGATCACTCTTCAGAACGCAGCTGGGCTGCGGAGGGCTGAGTCGAGCCTCAGGTGCTGCGTGGTGTGCGGCTGGGCTCCGGACGGCCGGCATTTCCTGACCGCCACCACCGCACCCAGGACTTGAAGCGCAGCGACCAAAAGAAAGCCACGCTCGCGCGGCCAGTGTTCGGAACCCGCGGAGGGACCGAGGGAGGCCTATTTCAGGACTTCCCCAGTTTCGACCTGAAACTGTTTGGGAAGATCAGTTTAAGTAGTGCCACACAGAAAGTATGGACTTTTCTCTTCGCCAACCCACTCAAGAAGTGCGGCTTCTAACAGAGAAGGCTCTTCAGCTTGGGTTTCGTTTTTGGAGCCCCCGAGGAGGGGGATAGGGGGATGCTGTTGAGAGTTGTGTTTTCTTTGGTGCGTCGCTGCTTGTTCCCCATTTGTTGAAGGTTCTGGAGCTCCACTTTTCGTGTTTGCTCATGCCAGAGGTGACGGTATGGTCGCGGGTGCTTAGTTACTCTTGGCTTTTCCAGACTTGGACGGCCTGTTGGTTTGGTCGGTTCTGTGGTTTCTTTGGCTTTTTTGCCCTCTTTTGTTTCTCGGCTTGGTCTTAGGTGCTCGCTCCACTCCGGCGGTTCTCATGTGTTTTGGCCAGTCCGTGGTCCCGGTGGCTCGCTCGCTCGCGGTGTGGTCTCGGTCTTCGGTGGAGTTTCGTCTCCGGTTTTCCGCAGCCCGGTCCGCCCGGTCCGTCCGTCGCTTCGGATCGAAGGCGGTTCGGGGGGGTTTGGTTTTTGTGACGCGGAAGCCTCGCGGAAGCCTCGCCGCTCGCGAACTCGATCCGAAAATCGAAAACTCGGGGCGCAGGATGCGGGTGGACAACAAGATCGAGGTCTTCGACTACCTGGGCTCCGGGCTCGGGAAGATCGAGTTCGAGGAGCTCCTACTGGCAGGCGGGGAACGCGGGATAACGCGGGAACGCGAACGCAGAACGCGATTGGAACGCGGAGGACTTCGGGGAGGGGTTGCGGTTGGGAGAGAGAGAGAAGTTGGGGTTGGGAGGTTGGGGGGAGTGGAGGTTTCTTTGAAGGGGTTGGGAGGTGGAGACCTTTTGTTTGTTTTTAGATTGACCAACTATGAAACTGAATCTGAACATATGCCAAGGGAGGCACAGAGGCCTCCGGAGGTGTGTGTGATTCCTTTCTGAAGCTTGAGCTCATTTGTTTGTTTGGGGGCAGATGGCTTTAAGAGTATCAAAATCCGGTTTGCCTCATTACGTGTTGTTCCTGTTGATTGGCAGTCTCTTGGTTTTGATGAGAGCCTTGAGCACCCATGGAAGAGATCGTGGTTGCCGTGCCCAATTCAGAGAGAGGGATGCGGATATGGTGCATATGGTGCCGTGACTTGAGCAACATCGCCCTGGTGTTGGTGAAAGTGAAGTTTGTCGCCGCGTCAAACTTGAAAGCAACTTGGGCGCCGGGTTTGGGTAGCCAAATCTCTAGCATTCGTCGGTTGGTGGCGAGGCTGCTTGTTGATTGGCTTACATATATAAGGCCAGGGATCCACATGGATGGCATGGGGTCATTCCCACAAACATGCTTCTAATTGATGGCGCCCCTTCGGGGTTGTTGTTTTCAACCGCCAAAAGGCAGCCAGCGACTTGTTTGTAGTTTTTCTTAAGGACACCAGCAATGGATACCACAAGGACACCAAGCATGGTCAGTTTTTTTCTTGACGGCCACAAGGACACCGGCGATTCGAGGAACCTCCCGGTCCAACACCCGCTAGTCCCGCCCGTGAGGCTGGCGCCCGAGACCCAGAGGGGCCTTCCAGGAGTGCGCCGCGGGGCCGCGCGCCTTCCATCGACACCTGCTCTAAACGCAAGCTTACATGTGTGTGTATATGCCTATATATATATGTATCTATAAATATATAGATAATATGTATCTGTATCTACCAAGACAGACCCATACTTGTGTAGGTGTATGAGTCGTGTATGTATCTAAGTATGTATATGTATACATATATATATATATAAGTTTATATACATACATATATATATACATACATATATATATATATGTATATATACATATGCATATATATATGTATATGCGAATTATGATGATGCCACTAGGAGGTTTGCGACGTCACCCATGATGAAGGTGTCTTTCATAGGGGCCCCCGATGTGCGGCTGATGATGTTTATTAGTTTACCCAACGGTGATTCGAGATGACCATCTACATCGGACACCTAATTGTCTCCCGACATCTCAGCAAACCCTATGTACGCCACACCCAGTGCCAAGTCTTTGCCACCCCCCTCCCGAATCTCCGAACAACGCCTGCTTTAGGGTATGGAAACCATGCCTTGTGCTTTAAAAGATCCAACAACAAGCGTGTATTTGGATTATAGGGGAAGGTTGATTCCAGCCATCCCCAGGAAAGTGGCTGCTTTGGTGCTGTAGAAGACTGGGTCCCTCCGAGGATACATTTGAGAGTTGCGCTGCGAAGCCCGTGCGAGAATCGCACAGCCTGGGGGAGGGTTTGTATGACACCCATTTGGGCCAGTTCCAGAATCACCATGACTAGCTGAGCTAGATGATCGCCTTGCAGAGCAGTTTGTGATTGGCTTCATCCCTCAAAGTATACCCTGAATAGAGCATATATCTGGGTGAATTATACCTACCTCACACGACCTCACCCCAAATGGTGGTTTATGTGGGGAATATCCCTCCAACCACCTTATTTCAGCAGGGCTCCTTACAAGATACATGTTAAACATGTGGCTTTTTCAACACCAAAAATAAAGTTGGAGACCAGTATTTAGAAGTTGCAATGTTCAGGTGTTTTTCATGCAAGGATCCCTGTCTTGCCAAGGGATGTTAGGACTGAATATTTTTTGCCATCTTTTTTGGGTTTTTGCCAAGGATCCCTGTTCAGGCTGGTGAAAGAATCTAGAATTCCCCCAGATATGTGGAGCAGAGAGCTCGGGAAGCTCCTACGCGCGCGAGGACCGACCGCCCACGCCTGGCCGCTCCCGAGAAGTACAGGTGCAGGGTGCAGGGGGTGCCCTCGACTCCAAGAACCTTCGGAAGCAACAGGTTCAAAACCGGATTTGTTGTTCGCACCCTGTATTTTTAAAGGTTCTTGGAGTAGAGGGTGTAACAGTATCTGGGCAAGCGGCCCAAGCTATGGCTGTGAAAAGTCCCAGTTGGATGGGCACTGGAACTGCCTCTGCCTTTGTTGCTAGTCAAGGGTTGACATCAAACCCTAAAGAAAGAAGGTATTTGGGGTTCCCCGAAAAGCTTCACATGGAGCTCGCAAAGTCGTTTAGGGGATCCGATTCTTCTTCGTGCTTCCTCGTTCTCCATTTTGGGAGAAAAGAAGCTCCTGGTTTGCGGGTCATGGAAAGCCTCCTCATGAAAAGAACCTTAATGGTACTGGACAGCGTGGTGGAACATTTTCGTCTGTGATACCAATATGGGCGAAGCTCACTCAAAATTCAAGAGCTGGGGTTACGCAGGTTTTAGTTTTTGGTTCCATTTACCAAGGTGCCATTTTGGTACATTTATTTGAGCCACATCCACATAGCACATCCCCAAGACTTCTGACAACTTCAATGTTCCATGTTGAAGTACATCCTGAAACAAAGCGGGCAGTAAGGGGCGCAACCAGTCAATTGGTGAACGCCAGGCCAAGCCAAAGCCAAAGGCTGCTGCGGCTTACAGGCGTGGTTTTTGAATTTCATAGCCACCCAACGATTGCTTCTTGCACAGCTTTCTAGGGATTTTTGGTATGGGTAAAACCTGTCATTTGGGGGTGCTGGAGGCTGGTGGGGTTTGTGGATGGATGAAAGGTGCCAGTTGGGATGGATGAAACCCTTCGAAGATTGTTGAGAACTGCTGCGAAGCGGACTTCGTCCATTCACACTAGGCACGGCTTTTTCTTCTGACAAGGGGCAGTTGTAACCCAAATCTAAGGACACTTTCCCTTGTCAGGTCCGTTTGCGCGTGCAGTGTGATTCATTGGATTTAACGAGCTTCCTTGGGGTTAAAATCGAGCTCACTCACGAAGGTTTGTGGCTGTGATTGCGAACATGCTTATACCTTATATGTGTCTTGGGCGGTTTCAGCATAGGGCCGCTGGTTCTTTCCGGGGGTACATTTTACCAGTGAGTCAAAACTAAGCAAACAATAGAATATACATTCTAATCATGTTTCCCCCGTCCAATTTGTTGCGCATTTTTCCTAAAAATGCGTGGAGCTCGCAAAGTCAGGCCTCCGAACGCGCGGGGGGGCGGCGGGCTGGCAGAGCAGCTGCGGAAGGAGCCTTTCAGTAAGAGGCGTAGCAATTGGGCGGAGTTCCTGGTGGTTTGGGTCTTGGGTCTTGGGTCTTGGGTTGGTCAACGAACTCTTTTTTGTTTTTCTCGTGTGGGGCTGGTTGGTGGGCGTTTGAAGAACAGTTTGAGGTAGAGGTAGAGTTGGCCGCGTGGTAGGTAGAGTTCCGGGTTTGGGTTTGGGATGGTCAGCGAACATTTTGGGGGAGGGGCGGGGGGTTGGTTGGTGCGCGTTTAAGAACTAGTTTGGTTGGTAGAGGTAGAGTTGGTTGCGTGGCAGAGTTCCTGGTTTTGGGTTGGTCAGCGTGTTTGTTACATCAAGGCCCCATTGACGAGTTGATCAGGGTATTTTATAGGGCCCAGAAGGGCTTTGGAAGGGTCAACATACCAGCACCCATACAGTGCCTTTGGGTGCTTTTGAGGCAGCCACCAGCATGGAAGGTGCTGGAGGGTACACTCAAAAGAACAACTGGCTGTGGGTCAAAACCCTGTACCCCTGGTGAACATCAAAATAGGTGGCAAATGAATGTTCATCCACCCCCAAAATGGAGCCATAGGTTATGCAACCCATGGCCAACTCACTTTCGCAGCTCCTGGAGATGAAGCTTTTGGGCAAGGTGGTGGTGGTGGTGGCGGTGGTGGTGGCGGTGGTGGTGCAAATGAGGTGGGATGAGGTTCGGGCTGCTGAGAATGCTGGGGATGCTGGGGGTGCCCGTGGTATGGACATACTGAGCATCAGCTCATGCTGGGATGCTGCGGATGCCGGGGGTGCTGGCGATCGATTTCCAGAGGAATGAGTGGAGAACCATGGCAAAGGGCCAATGAACCTGCCGGCCAAAACAAAAAGCCTCAACTCACAGAAAGCAAAGGGAATCAATGCAACAAAGACCAACAACCGACAGTCCAGAACCAGAGGCTCACTTCCTGAGCGAATGAACTTTAAACTTTTTGGGTTTCGACCATAGGGGTATAAATATCAAGTTTGGGCCTTTTTTTGGGGGGGCCATCCACTCAGCCAGTGAGGAGACCCCTTTTTCTCACCCCTTGTTTTGGTTGGGAGGGTTCCCCTGCAAAAAAGAAAGAACGGTTGGTACCAACTTATTCTATCCTCTCTGGACCTAGAGAGAGATCAACAACCAAACGAACCGAAGCCAACGAAACGAAGGCGTCGACTCGAGCGCCGAGCCTCCGAGCGCCGAGCATCGCAGGAGCTGGGCTCCGCTGCGGAGGTCACCACGGCCACCAAGGCGCGCGGATTCTGTGAGGTTCGAAGTCCGAGAAAGCGACGGAGCAGCTTCCATTTGCGGATTTGTTGGTAGAATTTGCACATTTCCAAAAATGGGTAAGCAAGGGGCATTAGACCCAAATCTATAGAATCGGGATGGTTACCTTCCATTTGCTGAAGAAATATTAATATATGGTTTATGTTCCCTTGTTGGTTTTAAAAGGTTTTTTTAATCACTACTGGAAATATGTTATTTTATTTTTTTCCAGGGGTCTTAACCAAATGGAAGACAGCCTTTGAATTGTTTAGGGGGCCTTTTTGTGCCTCCCTGGCTGCGGCTGGAATTCCGGACATCCCGGTCGGTCTTGTTTTTGTTGTGGAGGGCCCGGGGGTAATGTGGAAGGAACAGGCCGTTCCGTGGTGCCGAAGCCGAACTCGGTCCCCCGAATAATATACGTTTTTTGCCGAAAATAGTTAATATATTCGGGGGTGCGCCTTTCAATAATAGAGGGGCCGGATCACATTGCTTCCGTCTGTTTGCGGCTCACTTGTCGTTGATCTCCAAGAAATGCTGCCGCCTTCAAGCAGGGACCATTTGAGCCTCTTGGGATTTCAGGCTGGGTCGAACCCTCCCTACCCAAGTGCGGAAAACACTGTTTGTCATGCCTCTGTAGGCCGAAGTGTCTGTAGAAAAGCACACAACTTGGCTATCCAGGCGGATCATGTTTACATAGTTTTACAAACCCCTTACTCACAAGACTTCTTTTTTGTTGGGGGGGCGGGGGGGGTGGGGCTAAATTTGTAAAGGCCGAGGTTTTCCATCGTAAACACCCAGGCTTGTGGGATCGAGGGGGTTACTTCTGTCATACGAGGGAAGCTCCCTTCGTGTGGGGGGGTTCGCCTTTGTTAGGCCCTTGTTGTTGTATCACAGATTCGTGGATTCCATTTCTCGCCCAACCACCTCTTTTCTTTGGAGTGTTATTTGTTTTTCTGCAGTTGTTTTTTGTTTGTTTCTTTGTCTTTTGTCGGTTTCTGTTTTTGCCCAGCACCGGCCATAGCCCGAAGAAACGCAGCCCCGCTGTCGGGGTCGCGTCGCTGCGTCGCTGCGTCGCTGAGGTGGGCGCCTCTGCGGTGCACTTGCCGCCAGGGGCCTCGCCGGAGGACTTCGCTAAGGCGTCGCCCGGATGTGGAGCGATGCCACTTGTTGGCGCCAAGAGGCCCCCAGGATCGTGCCCTTTCTCACCCGTTTTTTGGGGGGAAAGAGACTACAGGAAAAAGTTGGCACCCTTATTCTAACCTCTCTGCTGGAGGACCTAGAAACCCCTCCCGTCAGCTTCAGTTCTTGGGGAGAACAACTTGTGAGTTTCATGGCAAATGTCCGCGCGATCCGGACCGAGGGCACGCATTGGGTTGCATTAAATCACAAGGCCGAGGGGGCGAGTCTTGTTTGGTTAGGGAGTTCTCTTGGAAGAGCACAATCCCTTTTGAGACGCTTGGGCGGTTTATATCGCTTTGTGGGGAGGGGGCGGAACCAGATCGAAGTGATCCGGATCGCCGAAGTAGAGAGTTGTTTGGGTGAATGAGAAAACTGCACCACAGGCTCCAAGCACTTCCAACCAGTTGGACTGTAGCGGTTTGGGTCTGGTTGTCATTTGAGTGTTTATTGTTTTTGAGGGTACCCTGTTTTTTCGGATGGCTTCCAAAGGATGTTGTTTTTTGTTTTGTTTTTTGAATGGCTTCCAAAGGAAGACGGACACCAAGCATGTAAGGGGATCCCCTAGTTTGACGCACCGCCATGATAGTGGAAAACCAGGTTGACCTTTTGCGAAGCCACAGAATCGAGAAGTTCAGGTCGGAGCTTCCCTCTTCTCATTGGCCGGACAGAAAGGGCCAAGACAGGTGCTTCACGGGCTTCAACCATGGCCCAGGCTCCTAGTTGAATGCCCGCTATAGTAGGTGACCAACCATTGTCTTGTGGGTTTTAGGGGGTGGTTACCCACTATACAAGGAAATGTCACTGGATCCACCAACAAAGATGCTGCGTCCATGGTAAATCCATCCTTGGCACAGGGATAGATTTGTTTTTTTGGGGGTCCCCCGCAGGCACACCACCCAGAGGCTTCCCCACTGAAAGACAAACTAGGCTTGAGCCATCCTTGAACGTGGGCTTAAACATACACTTTTGGTTGAGAAGTTCAACATTTTTCCAATTTGAGGCAATCTGAGAAAACAGCCGGAGCATCTACAGGACCCAAGAAGTTCTCAGGTTTCCGGACGAGCTTGTCTACTTGTCTGCCAGCTCCCCCAAGATGTGCTGCCTTGGTTGCTCCCAGCCATCCGGTTCCTTAGCTGTTTAGCCTTGTAGTGTTTAGTGGGAGCGTCCATTCAACCCACTAAAAGTTAGTCACGTTTAGCGGGGGATCTGAGAGCAAAGCTGCAACAGACCGACCTAAAAAGCCTCGCAGATTTGGGTTCCTGAATCACTGAAGGGTTCTCCCAGCGTGGAAACAAGGAAGTTCCACAGTAAAGGACCTTGGGCAGATCGCTGGTTTTACACCATGTCGACCAGTGGCCGTGTAGACCTCATCGTTCCACCCTCAAGAGAATGGCAAGCGCCCAAGTAAGATGATGAAGCTCACGTAGACTATGGTTATACCAGCCCAACCCTTGTTTTGGTGGCCAGGGCATCCCATCAAAAAGTTAGGACATTGTTTGCCTCTGTTATGGTTTCGCCATCTTTTTGGGGAACCCACCCGAAAAATACATAAATCATAAGTAACAAAACAAACAAACAAACAAACAAACAAACAAACAAACAAACAAACAAACAAAAACACAAACACACACACACACACACACAAACACACAAACAAACAAACAAACAAACAAACAAACAAACAAACAAACAAACAAACAAACAAACAAACAAACAAACAAACAAACAAACAAACAAACAAACAAACAAACAAACAAACAAACAAACAAACAAACAAACAAACAAACAAACAAACAAACAAACAAACAAACAAACAAACAAACAAACAAACAAACAAACAAACAAACAAACAAACAAACAAACAAACAAACAAACAAACAAACAAACAAACAAACAAACAAACAAACAAAACACACACACAAAAAATAATAACAAAAGCAACAAGGGGAAAACAAACACAAGAAACAGGGGGGGGGGGGGCGGGTTTCTCCCCCCCCCCCCCCCCCCCGCCCAACCCCCCCTCCCTTCAGGAGTGCGTCTTGAAAGCGCCAGGCCTCCGGCGCCAGCGGTTCCAGCCGCAACGCCCGGAAGAAGAAGGCCAAGGAGGCCGCGGAGAAGTCGTCAGCGCCGCAGGCGGGAATTCGGGCCTGGGCCGACGTCTGGCTGGCGGTGTTAGTAACTCACGAAGCCAAGAAACGCAACGGCCATCCTATGCCTCCATTTGGTCATAGGTTTTTATTTTCCCCTGTTGGTTTTAAAGGAAATCTATCATAGTGGAATCATTTTATGTTTTTCCAGGGCAAGCAAATGGAGGTATGGAGCTCTGAAATTACTTTCCATAGAGGTTCCCCATATTTCCCACTTTGGTTTAGACATAAAATGGAGGAGACGTTGAACAAATACCAGGCTTTTGGCCCCATCCTCGTCGCGTGAGGGTTGGTTTGCTTCCTCTACCCCTACCCTGAGGACAAAATTGTTTTGGGGGCCCTCAACATGGGGCCGCTTTCAAGTGCCGTTGAGGAAGGTTTTGTCGGGGTTCTGCATCCCAGGGCCTGCGGGGCTGCATTGGCGGGCTTAGGGTGTGTGTATGTACATACAGGGGTGTGTCTTGGTTCCCCATACATCACCCCGTCATAAGGAGAATTCCCAAAACGACTAGCTGCGAAAGAAAGTCCGAACATACGGCATGTTCTGTGTACCCCTTTTTTGTGCGCTTTGCGGCTGGGGCAGCGCTCCAACACATCGAGCGCAGACATGCGCAGAGGTAGAGCCCAATTCTCACTGGCTGCAAGGCTAGATGGCGCAGCGAGATCTTGCAAAAGCCAGGAAGCTCCGGTGGTAGCTGGCAGGGCAGTTTTCATGGAGTTGCAGATTGGCACCCAGTCCTGAAAATCCGGGTTCCTGATGGTTCCTGGGTTCTCCACGGCCTGTCCGATGGAATCATTTTACGCGGCAGCGCCTCAAAAACGCAGAGGCTCCGCGTTTCGCGGCGCGGACTTGCCGAGCTCAGGGTGAGCGGATCCCGCTTCAGCTCCGCCATAAGATGCTGGGCTGCAGGCTCCAGGCTCGGGTGGTGTGATGCTGGAGATGTCACAGTACCGAAGAAACGAATTACCGGGGAAACGAGGCATTGCCCCGTGCCCCCAAAAGAAAACAGAAAGACAAACAAGCAAGGCTCTGAGAACCCGTCCATCAGAACCATTTCGATGGGTGCTTTTTTACCTTTCCTGTGGGAGGGGGGGGTGATTTCTTCACAACTGAAGAACAATAATTACATCCATTGGCAGTGGGTAGGTTGCCATTCCCACCCTGTTTGGCCATGGTGCAGCTAGTGTCAAGACGCAAAGCATGCCTCGTGCTACCCCCCATTCCGCTGCCTCAGCGACAGCTATGGTGTCAAAACGCAAATCCGGAGAAGTTTCGGGGAATGTAGACCTTGCCGTTGGGATGCTCCTTGGTTTCTAAAATAAGCTCGGGCGATATCCCAAACAGCATGCGGTGCTCTTTTTAGTGCTCGTACCACCCCGCAGCCCTCGCAGAACCTTGTGGAACCCTGGTGGAGCCCTGGTGGAACCCTCGTCAAACCTTACCTCAGGGCCCCCCCGGACCACCCCGGAGCCTATCTGGGCTGAGACCCCTGCTTGGAAAAAAAAGAAGCCGTTGCTCTTCTTTGCAGCGGCCGAAATCGAGCCCTTCTCGATCCTGTTTGTTCCAGTTCAACCCAAAGGCCTTTGGGTAGAGCTTGTGGCCTCAAACCACCGCTCGGCTGGGCGGTCCCACCCTGACCCTGACGTCAGGCTGAGGAGCCCAAGTTCGCACCTGCCCCACGAGGCAGGGAAAGGGGACAGGGATGCAGTTTACATTTTGCCAGTGACTCAAAGGGAAGCAAACAATGCAATATTTACATTCTACTGGGCCTAAGTCTATTCATGTTGCTATTTGCTTTTTATAGGGAACCGCCTCAAAAGTGTTTGGTTCCCTATGCAAATGGCAAGGGTCCTCAATTGAGATTCCTGCCCGCGTCAACGTCAAGTGTTGTCGTGCCACCTGTTCATTCGCCCTACACGATGGGTCGGGGCTCCAATAGCACAGGCTGGGGTCCAGAATGCGTCCGGACGCATGCTCCATCAGAAGGCAAAGTGGGAGCTGGTCGCTTCCTTCAGTTCAGAGCTCGACCTGTCCGGTCTTTTGTCGAATACGCATATGTTGTCTCGATAAACAAGCCAGATACCAGCTTATTTAGATCCGGACCCTTGTAAAGCAAGTGGTTCAAACTTTCTTGGCCTGGATGGGTTTGGCAGAAAGAGGATTGAGAGCACGCGCCTTGATTGATTGATTGATGGTTCAAGTCAGGCTAGCTGCAGGGCGCACATTTTCTTGGGTATGAAACGGCATTTTCATGGACACGGCCATGGCCCTGCGCTTGTGCCCTCCTTGACAGTGCCTGCAGAGGCAATACCCTTGACAGTGCCTGCAGAGCCTGACTTTTCGCAGTTCTTCCAATCTGGCGTTCATTGTGCAGTGATCGAGCGCATGCGCCGTTCTGGGTTGATGTGCGATGCAGACATTGCTGGCCTGCGACCGGATGAGCTGGTGACAGCCATGTCTGGCTTTATTGACGATGAGGAAGCTGGATGGTACATCGAGCTTGCCCGTGGCGCTTTGGCATTCCTTGCCAGGCGTGCCAGTGGAGCCCCGCAGTGCGCTCGCCCTGTTGAAGGCCTCCCTGTGCCTGCTGTCAAACGGTGCAGGCTTGTGGGTAGCATTGCGCCGGGCGCCTTTCAGTGGTCGCAGAATGCTCTGACTGCCCTGAGGCCAGTTCACCAGCACTCTGAGATGGTCCATGCTTGCTGGGAGATCTATGCCGCCCTTGGCACGCATGGCGAGTTGTGGTCACCGTTGCTTGAGGAGCACCAGGCCATTGCTCGCGAAGGCCTGGCGAGTCGGCTGCAGATCTTTGAGCGGCGCACTCTGCAGGCGCAACTCAGCGCCCTGAGGCGGTGGGCCAATTATGTGTTGCAGTTTGGCAAAGGGCCTGCAGAAGTTCTGTTGCCTCCGGTTGCCCTGCTTTTTTCCTTCCTTAAGCAAGCGTCTGACGGAGGGCCAACTGCAGCGCAAGGACTTTTCCAGAAGCTGTTATGGTGGCGTCGGCATGTCGGCATACCATTCCCGCTGGGCGACCCCATGGTTGCAACGTGGAACCGAGTGGCCGAGGGACACTCTATCCAGCCTCGTGTGCCTTTGAGCTTTCGTGCTTTTCAGGCGCTCTGCAAGCTGGCCCTTGGTGGTTCCACGAACGTTGCTACGTTCGCATCTTTAGCCCTTATCCCATTAGTGGCTTGCCTGAGGTTCGCCCACGCGCAGCGATCAGCTGATTGGACGCTGTCCCACGACTTTGCTCGCGCGGTTTGCTTGAAGGGCAAGTCGCGCAAACATGGCACGCGGCCGTCGTTCGAATGGGCTGCTCCGATGCATGTTGGCAAGTGGAAGCATGTTTTGGGCTTAGCGTCAAGGGTCATCATTGACTTGCGCAGCCAGGTGCCTGACTTGTCCTTTTGTATCCCAGATGTTGCCTGTGGGCCCTCCGGTTGCCTGGACGAGCGTGCGCATTGGCGAGCAGCCCCGATGCCAATGGCGCGCTTTGTGAAGCTGTTGCACTCAGTGTTACGTAGCGAAGGTTTGCCTGATGCAGAAGTAGGCCTTATCAGCACTTACTCTTTGCGACGTTTTTTGCCAAGTGTAGCAGAGGTCTTGCGAACGCCAGTGGAAGTTGCCCAACACTTGGGAAACTGGACGGAGTCAGTTACGACCAAGCATGCCCAGCCAATGCCAGTGCAGATGAGCCAGCACTATGCTCATGACAGAGTGCTCTCCGCTGGGCACACTAAAGCTTTGTTGTGCGCAGCAGTTCAGGAGTTGCTCGAGACAGAATCCGGGCCGCTCGATTGGCAGTCTTTCCGCACAAAAGGGCTCAGCTGGCAGCAGATTTTAAATCGACATTCTGCTTTGACTCCTCCAGCAGACAAACCAGTAAATTGCCAGGGAAGTGACAGCGAAGCAAGCAGTGACGAGACTTCGTCCTCTTCCGACGGTGGCTCAAGTCACGAAGGGTTGCCGCATGACTTAGAGTGGTTTCGTTTTGCCCGTGGGGTTTCTCATATCGCACGTGAGCGCTCCCAATCCCAACCTGTTCCTTGGTGCCGTGGCACTCCGTTTGCGGGAATTCCCTTGGAGTGGGGCATCGGAATAGAGCCAGGCTTGCAGATTTGTGCCAAATGCCAAGCCTGCGTTCCACCGCACATTAAACGAGCAATCGACTCCTGCAAATAGACAGTGAAAGAATTCTGCGGCTGTGCGTAATAGGTCAGTGTGTTTGCCACTAAATTTCCTGACAACACAAGACACGCGGGTTTCAGGGCTTCGGGGGCCTTACACTCATGTTTTGTGGCCCTTCGGCCCTCGGCCTACATTTATGTCTTGTTGGCCCCCCTGTTTCTTTGCAAGCTTCAGCTTTGGCAAAGGCTTCTTGTTGCGGGGTTGTGCCTACTCTTATTTGATTTGTTTTCCTTTCACACGGCAGGCTTTTCCCCGAGTGGCGTGAGGCATGTCCAGTTTCAGGGCTTCGGGGGCTTCGCGCAGCCTTTTGGGTGCGTGGCCCTTCGGCTCTAATTGTTGTTTGTTTGTTGGCCCCCCTCTCTTGCAGATGCGGGTTTGTGCCAACTCCTTTTTTTTTTAAAAAAAAAAAAGATTTGATTGGCAAGTTCATCCAAAGTGACGTGAGACATGTCCAGTTTCAGGGCTTCTGGGGTTTCGCTGGCCCCCCTTCTCTTGCAAACTTTCGGCTTTTGCTGGGGTTTCTGCTGTTGCAGGGTTGCGCCCCCTTTGTTTTGACGGGCAGCTTTTCCCGAGTCACCATGACATGTCCAGTTCTAGGGCTTTGAGGGCTTCGCGCAGCCTTTTCGGTGCGCGGCCCTTCGGCCATTGACCTACGCTTGTTTTTGTTGTCGTAGGGATGCATCCACTCTTTGCTTGGCCAGGCTAGTCTTTTACTGATCTGGGACGAAGGTTTACGGAGATTTGTGTGTTTGCCAACTTTCAAATTCCCTCAGTCACGCGAGACATGTCGGGTTTCAGGGCTTCAGGGGCTTCGCGCAGCCCTTGTGGTTGCGTGGCTCTTCGGCCCTCGGCCTTAATTTATGTAGTGTTGGCTCCACCCTTTTTGTGGCAAGCTTTCAGCTTTTGTGCACTGGTTTTTAACTTGCTAGTCTGTTGTTGGGAATGATGCTTTACACGTGCATTTACACGACCTGCAGAGCTTCAACCATTGTGTTTGACTTTCCGTTGCTCGCTGCAGTCGCGGCCCATGTGTAGAATGCAGTTCCAACCCTAGCCATGCCAGCTCCTGGCACTAAGCCTGTTGCCAAAGATAAGGAGGCATTGCTGCAATTGTTTCGGCAACACCGCCTTGCAGACCCTTTGATTGAGCACTTGACAAAAATAGGCCTGGAGAGCTTGGCAGATTTTGTGGGCATAGTCGATAGCAAGGCGTTCGAGTCTGAGTTGAAATCCCTGATCTTTGACAAGTCGCCTTGCCAAGATGAGTTGGTCCAGTTGTCAAGACTACGCACAGCATGGAAAGAAGCCCAATCCACAGTAGAACAGGCTCGCAAGAGACGCCTTGACGGCGTGGCAGACGATGCTGAGGAACCTTTGGACCCGAGAACTCAGGAGGGATTGATGCAGTCGTTCTCTTCTATGTACTCTGTGCAGTTGTCCATGTACCTCATGCCTTCTGACACCTTACTTGGGCGAGTCTGGCGCGAGTTTGGGCGGGGGACCCCCACAGTCATTCCGGCGCGCAAGGTTCAGTCGCTGTACCAGGCGTCCAAAGGTGTTTCCAAGGAGTCAGTGAGCCTGGGGTCCAATATCCTGGTGCAAGTGCAAGCTGAGCCGCCAGCGTTGCGTTCTGTAGTAGCGTACTACTTCTGCTTGCGGGTGCTGGGGTACGCTTATGCTCTGGCTGGCACTCACAAGGTCCCGTCGGCAGCAAATCAGTCCCAGCAAGTCGTTTTTGCACCCCTGGATGTGAATCTCAATTACGCTGACTTCTGCCTCAGGCAGGTGACAGAGATCGTCCAGCAGCCAGGCCAGCAGCTGGCATGGTTGCAAGCCAAAGATGAGCACACCCGTGCCTGCATGGTTGATCTGATGCGTCAAGGTCTTTCCCAGGGAGAGGCGATGCAGCAAGCCCTTGCCCGTACTGAAGTGTCGTGGGCAATGCCGCCTACAGGGCCCGTTGTAGCAGCGCATCCTGCCAGCGAGACGGGCGAGGCGCCGTCCAAGCGCGTCAAGCAGGAGAAAACCGTGCGATGCTTGCCATCTGGGCAAGTGATTTGCAAAAAGCGCAACGATCAGCGTGGCTGTGCGAAAAATGAGAAGAGCTGCCCGGACAAGCGCAGACACTGTTGTGATGTTCGCAAGCCTGATGGGAACGCGTGCGGATCAACTTCTCACGTCCGCCAAGATTGCCCGCACTTGCGGTTGTGACTAGGTCCTCACGAGGGCCGCGATTTTGATTTTCGGACCCGGACTGATGAAATGCGTCGTGTGTGCCTTGTGCCTCCGGCAGGTAAGCTTGACGCTTGCCAGCCTTCTTCCAGAGCAGCGCATGTGTCAGCCGCCGCTGTGGATGGTAGCACGCCGCCTTTTGCTCAGTGGGTAGGCCGTGGTGGTCTGCCGTCGTTGCCGTGGGTCCCACCACGCCGAGGGCCTATTTTGCTAGTGTCGCTTTGCGATGGCTTCTCCGGGGCCGCCGTTGCAGTGGCTGCGCTCGGCCTCGAATTTTGCTTTGTGGCCGTCGAGTGTGACACCAGCTTGTCCCAAGCTGCGCAGCTAGTTTTTGCAAATTTTTCTGCACTTCAGTGACGTGTGCAAGTTTTCCTTTGCCCAACTGCCCAAGCAGTGGCGCAGAGCCCAGTTTTGGTTGATTGTGATAGTTGCTGGTTCGCCTTGCCGCGGTAATGCTAGCCTTCACAGTAACAGTCAGATTTTCCAGCACGTGCAGCGGGTTGCTGGTGAAGCTAGGCAAGTAGCTTCTGCCCAGCATGTGGTCGGAATCTTCGACAGCGCTGCTTGCGTGCCGTGCGACTCTTGCGTCCCCTCGCCAGTTGTCCAAATATGCACTGAAGCAGCTGACTTTGGCCATGTTTGCAAGCCGTGCGTGTGGTGGTTGGATGTAGAGCCCAGGGTTGCAGATTTGTTGCTAAATGTCATTGTGCCCCATGTTGAATTTTGCGTCTCAGCGGGGCAGATTCGTGCCAAGTATGCTGGCAAGCCTTGCCCTAAGCGTGTGCACTTTGAAGGTGCGTTTGTCAAACGCGCCGCTCAGCCTTTCCCGTGGTTGCCGTGCCAAGCCCGCTCGCGCGCGGCAGAGCCTGCTGCTTCTTGTGAGGGAACATTGCTGTGGCGTGGCGACGCTTACCGACTCCCAAACGACCGGGAAAGAGCTCAGATGCACTGTGTGCCTAAGGCTTTACTTGAGGCCGTCCAAGCGCGCGCCAACGACTTGGGCGCAGATCTGAGTAGTTCCTTGCACGTGCCCTCCTTTACCTTGGTGCTATGTCTAGTGCTGACGCTGCTTGCGCCTATCAGCAAGGTGCCAGGCCCGTGGTACGCGCCAGATGAAGCTCGGCTCAGATCTCGTGTGAAGGGTACTGTTTTTGAACCAGGCCTTTACTCTGCCTTCCCAGGCTTGCTCTCTGCTCGCGATTTGGCAACGCGTGTGTGTCACAGGATGTCCGCGGAGGGCTTGGCATTTTCCCGACCGTTGCAAGCCTTGGTGGCGGCTCTGTCGCAGGTGCCATTGAGTGATCTGCAAATTTACTGGGTTGACACGCAACTTCGCGGGATGCCTGCTGATGTCCAAGGACCGCACTGGGCGCAGCAAAAAGACCCTGCGCAGTCCTCTGCCGCCGCAGGCGTGCAGCGAGGGTCCGGCTTGTCCAAGTTCGCTCTGCCAGCGCTTCACAAGTCAGGTCTTTCCAAAGAAGCCCACATTGCCGAATCAGCCTTGTTGCAATCGCCTTTCGACTACAGTAGCCCTCTGGACGATGACTTGGACTTTGCTTGCCGCGCCATGATTGGCTTCGGCCCTTGGATTCGTACTTGGCGCGAAGCTCAACTTCGCGCTGCGTAAGTTGTCAAAAGTCCTGAGGCCGTGGGAAGCCGAGGCTGTTTCTCAAATGCCCGCTACTGTTGCTAGGGTTGCGTCGCGTAAGAGGCCTGTGTTCATGTTGGCTTGTACTTTGCTGCTGCGTTGGCCGGACGAGACCAACGCCCTCAGATACATCCTTGGTTTCCCTATAGTGGGCGACATTGAACACACGGGCCTTTTTCGGCAGCTAGAAGTCGACTGCGCGCAGCCAACAGGCCTTGACGTGTTGTTGGGCGCCTCAGCCGTGGCTAACTTGCGTGACTGTTTGCACCGTGTGCGACCCAGTGAACATGATGCCGCCTTGCTCGCAATGACGTTGCAAGAGGTGGCAGACGGCTTTGCAGATGGCCCCTTTGATGAAGAAGAGCTGAACGCCATGTTTGGCCGCGGAGGTTGGCGCCCTTTGGAAAGATTTGTTCACGTGCAGAGCTGCGGAAAGCTGAGGTGCATCGACTCTGGTAAAAAGTCTGGCCACAATAGGGCTAGCAGAGAAAGTGAAACAATTTTTGCCACAACTGTTGATGTCATCCCGGCCTTCGCTCGCCGAGCCTGCAGCCTTGCCCGCCAGCTGCAAGGGCCTGGCGAACATGACTTGCCTGAGTGGTTTTCTCTTGTGCTTGGCACGGAGGACATGAAAAATGCTTACAGACAGTGCCCTATCTTGCCTGCGCATAGGTGCTGCTCAGTAATTGCGTTTTGGCATTGCCACTCTTGCCGCGTCAAATACATCGTGCTCAACGGCTTGCCGTTTGGTTTGTCCTCTGCTGTACTTAGCTTCAACCGCACCCCTGCGCTGTTGACTGCCGTAGCTAGACGCTTCACTGGTTCAGCTGTTGCTTTCTTCTTCGATGACTCGTGCGTCCTTGACCTTGCTGCTGGTCACGGCCAAGCGCAGGCAGCGCTCCGAGAAGTGTACGCCTTGATGGGTGCTGTCCTAGACCCGGACAAATCTCAAGCGCCTGCTGGTTGCCGTGCTTTCCTCGGCTTGTCTGTTAATGTCGCCAAAGCGTCAGTTGCCGGGGTTGTTGAGTTTGAGCTGAAGGATGGGTTTCGCGAAGTGTTGCAACAGGACATCGATACTGTTCTGCAGGAGGGAATCTTGTCTTCCGGGCGTGCAGCCAAATTGCGAGGCAAACTTGGCTGGTCTGCGTCAGGAACGTATGGCCGATGTGCTCGCGGGGGCCAGGCGCCTTTGGTCCGCCGTCAGTACTTTGACACGGTGGATGTCCTTGATGAGCCTTTGAAGGACTCTCTTAGGTTCCACAGTCTTCTTGCCTGTGTAGTGCAGCCTCGCCAAGTGCAGGTCCTAGGCGCAGTTTTGCCTCCAGTGCGCATTTACTCTGACGCATCATACGAGCCTGACACAGATCTTGTTGCAGGTGTTGGTTTTGTTGTGTTTGACGCTGCCAGTGCCCAGCCCCCTGTGGGCATGGCTGCCCGACTTGCGCCGCAGGTTTTGCAGCTCTTTGATGAACGCCACCAGCAGATTACACCTTGCGAAGCCTTGTTGAGTGTAATTGTGCCTTGTAATGTCCCCCATCTTCTGGTTGGGCGCGATCTCATTTGGTACATTGACAATCAAGCAGCTTGCCAAATTCTCACCAAGGGTGCCAGTAGTGCAGGGGATTTGTGCTTCATCGCATCACTAGCGCATCTCCTGTACGCAAAGCTGAGTTGCAGGGTGTACTTCGAATACATCGAGTCGAATGCAAACCCTGCAGATGGTCTCTCCCGTGATGGCCTTGATGATGCGTGGACCTTTTCCCAAGGTTGGTCCTTGCTGCCGGCAATTGTGCCTGATTTAGTTCGCATTGCAGCGTCTTCGCTTGCAGCAGCTTTGACGGCATTGTAGCATTGGGGGGAACTTTGGGGTGGCTTGATTACACACACACACACACTTCAGAGCGCCCTGTGGCTTTCACCTGCACTTTGTGCTGTGCGCCCTCTTGGCCTCTGTGTGTGTGTGCAAGCTTTGACTAACCCAATGACACTCCCTTCTTCAGCTTGCAGACATCGGCATTATCTCACACTGCATGCGAAAAAAAGAGTGCGCCTTCTGCAGCAAGTTGCCGAGCTTTCATTCAAACTTTCTTGGCCTGGATGGGTTTGGCAGAAAGAGGATTGAGAGCACGCGCCTTGATTGATTGATTGATGGTTCAAGTCAGGCTAGCTGCAGGGCGCACATTTTCTTGCCCGCCCACCACGCCCTGGCATTGCCAAGAGTCTTGGCCTGCCTGTGATTTCTTCTGCCAAGCTTGAAGTGGGGTGGCTTGATTACACACACACACACACACTTCAGAGCGCCCTGTGGCTTTCACCTGCACTTTGTGCTGTGCGCCCTCTTGGCCTCTGTGTGTGTGTGCAAGCTTTGACTAACCCAATGACACTCCCTTCTTCAGCTTGCAGACATCGGCATTATCTCACACTGCATGCGAAAAAAAGAGTGCGCCTTCTGCAGCAAGTTGCCGAGCTTTCATATTTGGACGTATAAGCACCCCTGTTGGTGTCAACAATATGTTGTGCCGCGTTCAAGATGAAAGCAAACAAAAACAGCAACTCTCCAACAACTGCTTAAAAGGGACAACTCAAACAAGTCGTTGGATGCGGAAGGAAGGTGTTCCCTTCAACAAAAGGCATGGCAGGCGAGGTGTCCTTTTCGATCAAAAAGACTCCAAATTTGCGCACGTCTACCGCTTTGGATCCCTGTGTCCTCCGCAAGTGACTAGAGAAGCCCGAACAGGCTTCTCGCCCCAAGTCCAAAAAGGAGACTCCCCCTGAGCCACAATCAAAACCCGGGTAGATGAAGCTTAGTATGGGACGGTCCCAGCCAGAAATAGCTGCGGATATCCGCCTTCTTAATTATTTACATGGTTCTGGGTCAACCATTTTTATACCAGGTTTTGATTTTGACTCCCCTGCAGCACTTTTCAGCGGCTGCTTGTTCGCATGTCCAGACCTTGGTGCTTGCAGCGCCTTTCCCCTCAGACTCCGAGCCCGCGCCTTCCGCGGCTTCCGCGGACATGCCGGCGGGTGGAGGCGCAAGGGAGGCTCGTAGGACCTCAAGGCTTTGGGCCCAGCCCATGCTGCGCTTCGCGTTTTTCCGGGGTGAAGGCAAAGATCAAATTTCCCGTGCGTGCGAACATGGGAAAGGCAAGCCGCATCTTCCCGCATGTCTAAAACCGCTGTCCAAACAGCAGTAGGTGCAGGGAGTTCGCTTGATTCCTCCCCACCCATTCAACTTGGGCAGGTCGTGTCCACAGTTCTGAGGCCACAGGGTCCCCATTCATCCCTAAACTCGGGGGGGGATGGTCCTGAAATGTGGACCCAGAAGCAAACGGGGGGATGCCTCCGAGAGTTGGTGTTTCTGTTTTTTTGTTCCTCACCCAACAGGAAGGGGTTGTTAGATTTCATGTTGGAATCCGCGTTTGCGATGCTTCTACACCACGCCCCCACCCAGTATCCCGCCAGTGCAGCTCTCCAGTGGATCCCGCCAAGTATCCCGCCAGAGCAGCTCGTCAGTGGATCCCGCCGAGTATCCCGCCAGAGCTGCTCGCCAGTGGATCCCGCCCAGTATCCCGCCAGAGCTGCTCGCCAGTGGATCCCGCTGAGTATCCCACCGGCTCGCCAGTGGATCCCGCCGAGTATCCCGCCGAGCGGCTCGCCAGTGGATCCCGCCGAGTATCCCGCCAGAGCGGCTCGCCAGTGGATCCCGCCGAGTATCCCGCCAGAGTGGATCCCGCCGAGTATCCCACCAGAGCAGCCCACCAGTAAGTCCCGCCGAGTATCCCGCTGAGTATCCCTTTGCCGGGCCGGAGCAGCTCGCCATTATTCGCCAGTGGATCCCGCCAGCGTCCCGCCAGAGCAGCTCGCCAGTCTGGTTTTGCTTAATGTCCCGGTGTGTTGAGAGAACCCTGAGGCTCCGAAAGGGAAGCTTTTGTGTTGCTTTGGGTTGTGAATAAGCAACTTCGTTCAATCCCCCGTCGGGTTTCTTTTTGGAAGGGGCTTGGCCGGGCTTGGCTTTTGATAACGGAACCGATGTTTGAGTTCTCGAGATCAGCTCGCAGACCGGTGGAGTTTGACGGTCGTAAGCTCGTGAGGTGTGGAGGGTGGGGATTGCTCGAAGCGAAGTATTTTTTTCTTGGCACATCTGCGCATAGTATCACAGGCTCACCTGGAAAAGCTCACCCGAGAATATGTTTTCCTTCTTGGGGGATGTCTGAATACGTTAGTTGGTTTGTCAGTGGATTCTTTTGTGGGATAGCCTAAACAGCTTATTCATTCTTAATTCCAGTTGGGAATTATGATCCTTTGCTCCACGATCCAATCTTGGGCCTTTACAAAAGAGGTTTGGATAAAAATAGTAGGGGGGAGGGGGAGGGGCAAGGTTCAGAATTGGCAGAGCGCTCTTGGCGCAATAATCATCACGTCAAAGGCGTAGATCTGTTTTGAGGTCTGGTTCTAGCTGATGTCTTTTCGCGAGCACCTGTTGCAGATGAAGGGATGCACCCTGCATCCCCTGCATATTCTGGGCGATGCTGGTATTGCGATCTGTTGGTATTGCTTAGTTTTGCGGGCTGGGGACTTTGGGTGTGCAGTTGTTGGTATATGTGGATCCGCTTGTGCATGCAACTCTGTGTTTGTTGTTTGCACTTGCTGTGCTTCCGTTGAACTCTGTTTGAACACATTGTGTTGAAATTGAACTGGTTTGCAAAGCAAACTTTATTGGAAAGCCGGAAACAAATGAACATGTTGAAATAGAATAACCCTAAAAGTATCTTGCAACATAATTTTGTGTTCAAAGAATTCAGAGGTGCATGTTGCCACGGATCAGTGGAGACGCTTCTTCTTCTTCTTGTTGCCTTGGTTTTGACATGAGCTACCGCGCAGGTGAGGAGCTAGAGAAGAAGGTCCGGGCTCTGAGGCGCGCGCGGCATGGTCCGTTTGGCGAATTCAGTTGGCGTTCGAGACAGGGACAAAAGCGAGCAAGCCATCCGGCCATCTGGCCATCCAGTCAGCCAGCAAGCAGGCAGGCAGGGAGGCAGGCAGGCAAGCACCTTGAACACCCAAACGCACAAGCACACTAACACAAAGACACAGGCAAGCAAACAGAGAAGCACACCAACACGCAAACACGCAAACACACACACACACAGGCACTCAAACAGACAAGCAAACACACAAACTAACCATACAAGCAAACAAAGCACACAAAACAACAAAAGCAATAAAACCAGACAAGCAATCACGCCAGACATAAAAACAATCAATCGACAACACACAATCAAACAACTAGACAGACAAGCAAGTAAGCAAACAAACGTGCAACAATCACATAAACTCACAACCGGACAAACAAGCAAACAAACAAACAATGGACCAATTAGCCAAACAAACAACCAAACAAACAAACAAACAAAGAAACAAACAAAGGAGACAAACAAACACGGAAAGAAACAAAGCAAGACACAAACAAACAAACAAATCAAACAAACAAGCAAGCAAGAAAGCAAGCAAGCAAACAAACAAACACAAACAAACAACCCCACAAGCAAGCAAACAAGCAATCAAAGACCCACAAATAAGCAAACAAACAAACAATCAAGCAAGCAACACCCACACACACACACAAACTGACAGACAATTCGTTTGCGGGCTTCCGTTTTGCAAGGTGGTGTTTTTTTAAATCAAGGGCCAGAAAAAGGGGCTGCAACCTAGAGCCATGGATTCTGACAGTTTGGTTTTAGATACTGATAGAATTTCATGCCCCAGCCTACCAAACCAGGCCCAAGCATGTCAACCCAGCAGTGACAGTGGCAGGTTGAGCCTGTTGATCTGGCTTGCATTACATACCCTTTGACAATAGCTAATATTTATACTTTTTTGTGCAGTTCTGAAAAACAAATTAGGGCACACTCGGGTGGAATCGAACCACCATCTTGACTGCTGGCTTGTTCATCAGCAGCCACTGGGACTGATCCAGAAGCAGTGCCTGGGCAGGCCACTGTCAAAAGTGCAAAGGATGCTGATTTGGCAGAAATTCAAGATTATCACTGTTCCTGAAAATGCAAGATGCAAAGTTGAAAAGAACTGGTGGTGCTGGGGACGCTGGCTATAATGGAGCGGTGGACTTGACCCACCATCATCTACTCTGGTGATAGACTCCCTAGTAGTTTGCCCACTCAGAGTGATGCCTTAGCCAGTAGGCTACTGGGCCAGGTGCTTTTGAATATTGGAGTGGAGCCAGTATAATCGTCTAAATTTGTTCGTGTTCAACATGGACAAACTGGAAGGGTGACTTGCAAATGTTCAGGGCACAGTCTGCATTTCATCACTGGTGGTTACGCAAGCATAGGAAAATTCCTTTGAACCAGGGAGGTGATGAGAATCAATCTTTCCAAATCACCCTGCGAATTTGCCATGTTGAATTATGGCTGGCCACCCAATTTGCACCTTGGCTCACCTCAGCGAAGCGGACCTCAGCGAAGCAGTCAGTCATCCAGGCTGGACCATAGCTCGGGTAGTGGGGATGGAAGGGCTGGGTTGGAACAAGGTTGCGAGTTGTGAACCACTCCAGCCAAAATGAAATTTCTAACATTGACATGTTTTTGCTGGCCACTACTAGGATCATGGGCCAGGAGAGCCTGGGCACCATAATAAGAAATCAAAGACTATAGTTCTTCACAACTCCGGTCTGTTGAATGTTCAATCCCAGGAGTTACCCAGGAGCCAAAGTCACTGACTCCATTGTGGAAGCATAAATTGCCTTGCAACACCAGCTGAGCCCTCCAACGTTCACCTAGACAATGGCAATGACATGCTGCAACAAACAGGGCTGGTTTCCTGCGAGGCCAGTGAAGAATGATGGGAGAGCTGTGGTAGGCACCTGAGGCGCATGTGTACATGGGACAGCCACCAAATTTGGAGCTGGCAATCGTAGAAACACGCTGCTAGTTATGCCATCACCTAGTTGTTTCAAGTTGGAACCTTTCTCCTCCCCAAATGGACTCAGTATACCTTGCAACATGGGTGCAACTTGGGCGCAACATGATGATGATGATGACGATGATGATGATGATCGTGGTGGTTGCGGCGATGATGATGATGATTATGATGATGGTGATGACGATGATGACGATGACAATGCCAATGATGATGATGATGATGATGATGATGATGATGATGGTGAAATTGATACCATGATGATGATGAGGATGATGATGATGATGATTATGGTACTGATGATGATGTTGATGATGACAACAACGATGATGATGGCAATGTTACATTCATGATGACCATGGTAGTGAGCAGCAATGCAAATGCGTTTTGCAATGTGAACAGCAAAGGACATAATTGTGAATATGTTTGTCCAACGGCATGTATCTTCCTGCATGAGAGCAGGGCAAGGATATGGTATTCATGATGTTGTAAGCCATGATTGTGCCAATGCTAACAATGATCAATGGCAGTACTGATGGCATCAATCATGATGATTCTTCCTGACTCACCCTGCCCCTGTGTGCCAGGCTGGCTGGCATTCTGGCTGCTGGCGCCTGGCCAAGCGAGGCTGGGCTGAGGAAACAGGGCAAGGGGAAGTACAGGTGAGAGGAACTGAATGCTTCAATGCTACATCAGAATGAAGAGAAAAAGCCAGGCGTCATCTACACCTAGCCAGGCATTGCCAAGGCCCAGGCCAACCAGATCAATCTTTGTCCACAGGTCGGTGGCGGCTGACGCTGGGTGGCAGGATCGCCCAAGGGCCGCCGGAGGACAACTTCATGGACGGCCTGCTCCATGATGGATGAGCCAGATGCAGAGGAGGAACCAGAGGAGGAGGAGCCAGAGGCCAATTTGAATGAGGAGGAGATGGCGGAGCCGAGCATCATCTGCGACGGGTCTGAGGAACGGGAAACCCACCGCGGCGCACCCGGTCGGCACGCTTGGCAGCGACGAGCCGCTCACTTGGACCTGTCGAGGCCAAGCAAGTTGCTACAGCTTGTTTGGGCGGCTGGGCCAAGGGTTGGGCGGCTTCACGGTGAACGCCAACCGCGGAGAGGCGGCGGGCGTGGGCGAAGGGGCTCCAAGCAAAGGCTTGTGGGGGTTGGGTGCGATGGGAGCACCGGCTTTGACGGTGAGCAAGAGCCACTCATCCAATTTTTTACCAACTAGGCCTCATTTCTTCGCACCCTCTTTGAAAACGACGTTCGCGCTTGGGTTTGACTGACAAGCGGGCAAATAAAAACACAAAGAAATAAGACAAGAAGAGGAAGACGATAGTAAGACAAATTAGGGCAAGAGAAGAAAAATAGAATCCAAAGCTTAGGTTTCCAAATCAAATGGTTAGATGTCATACTTCCCCACGTTCTGAGGCCAACAATGGCTCAACCGCCAACAAGGGAAGCTGGAGTCCCTCATCAGTGGCATGCGGGAAATGCAGCAGCGCCGCTCGAGTCAAGAACTGCAAACAAAAATGACGGCACCTGTCAGTCCCAGGAATGTTAGTTGCTTGCAGGTCAGTTGGTGCTTCTCATGCTAGCAGGCAGTCAGACCTCCAGACCCAATGTGGGCAATGCGGGGGCGCTTGCCTTGATCCCCTCGCTCATCACCTTGATTGACTTCAGTACCCAAATTTGACCTATCCCGATTGAGTTGAAACCCCAGATCTCTGCACAACTGAATGTGAATGTTTATCATGCTGGCGGCAACTTGTCTCCATCTGTCTCCATGAGCAGCCATGGCTTCAATCAGTTCACCATCGCCTCAGGCACGCGGGTTGCCCTAAACTTCTGCATGCTCATAGCCATGAGCAGAGCTCAAGGGAACCACTTTATTGAACAAGGGCTATGGACTTTGTTTCTGCCTCGTGGGACACATGAATCCAGATGGAGCAGCTGGCTCAATGACACAATGTGGCAAGGCTGCAGGTGGAGCAAGGTGGCAAAACTGCAGACAAGGACTGCAGTACAAGGTGGAGCAACACGTGTGCACACACAAACCCCCACATGAACACACTAAAGATTGCACGCACGTGCCATATTTTGAGCATAGACCCGGAGCACTTCCAGCATTCTTGAAAGACATCGTGGACTTCTTCTTCATCATCATCATCTTCTTCACTCATCAAGTGTGGACTTCATCATCATACAAAACTGTTCAAATCATCCAGCAAGCCCAGCCCAGCCCTTCCTTCCAGCCTGGATGTGACTGCTTCGCTGAGGTTTGCTTCGCTGAGGTGAGCCAAGGTGCAAGTTGGGTGGCCAGCCGCAACTCAACACGACAAATCTGAAGGGTGACTTGGAAAATGTAACACTCATTCAAATCCCTCTTTGGTTGGAACGCACTTCATTTCACATGCTTGTATTTCAGCCAGTCAGGAAACATATGCAACACCCTCTCCAGTTTGTCCATGTTTCACACTAGCAAAGTTTGTAACACAGCTCATTCACAAAAGCAGACATGTTACTTTCAAATGTAGAACCATGTGCGATTGATTCAATGAGGGGCTCAACTTGTAGCCAATGGGTCATGTGACAAGCCATGTTGTACATATGTATTTCATTCCCTGTCACAGGGTTGACATGCTTGGGCCTGGATGGGCAGGGCGTGTGATTTGTCCTGGTGATGCCTTGAACACTTAAACATCTTTGATCTAGCAAATATAAGTTTAAGGCATCACCTGGCACAAATCACATGTAGCAACATGTTCTTCTCTGGCCTCAAGCATGTGAACACCATGCGCAGGGAAGGAGATCAGCCCCGCTACAAATTTATGAGCTGAATTCATTCTCAAACTCATTCCCTTCTTGTTGGTTGGAATCTGCTTTTGTTCGGATGCTTGTGTAGCAACCAGTAGTACCACAAAAACAACGTTTCAACCAGTGATGAGAATGAGTGTTACTAATTCAGCAAATACGTTTGAGCAAATACTTTGAACATTGCAACCCACCCTTTCAGTTTGCCCATGCCCATTACTAACAAAGTTTATAACACAGCCCATACACAAAGGTAATAGCTTCTTACATTCAAATAAAGAGTCAAAGGTTTGATTGGGGGCTCAACCTGTAGCCAGTTGACATGCTTGGGCCTGATTTGGCAGGGCATGGAATTTGTCCGGGTGATGCCTTGGACCTTGGTGGATATTTAAGCGTGAATAAGTTCAAGGCATCACCTGGCACAAATCACATGAACCAATAAACCTAAGGTTAATATGTGCTACACTGGCCTCAAGCATGCAAACATCATGTGCAGGTAAGGGCCCCCGCAAATTAATGGGCTCATCCTTGGCAAGTCACCCTTCCAGTTTGTCCATGTTGCACACTAATAGTAGGCTGTTTGCAAAGTTGATTCACAAAGAAAAACATGTTACTTTACTTCCAAATGTACAATCATGTGTGGTTGTTTGTTGAGGGGCTCAACTTGTAGCCAGTGGACCAAAGTTCCATCCAACTGCACATCCCTGTCACAGGGTTGACATGCTTGGGCCTGGATTGGCCGGGCGTGTGATTTGTCCTGGTGATGCCTTGGATACTCAAAACATCAGTGATCTGTTCTTCTCTGGCCTCACCATGTGCAGGGCATTTCTCCAACTCATTCCCTCATGTATTGGAATCTGCTTCGGTTCGGATGCTTGCACAGTGAATCACAAACACAACATTTCAACCAGTGATGAGAATGCGTATTGCTAACTCAACCAATACGTTTGAGCAAATAACTTGAACATTGCAACCCACCCTTTCAGTTTGTCCATGCTGGACACGAACAAATTGTGTAACACTGCCATTTTTAGACAATTATAGTGGCTCCACCCCTATAGCCAGTGTGGCTTTTTGAATAACACTTGGCCACTCTACTAATGGATAAGGCGTCACTCTGAGTGGGCAAACTACTAGGGAGTCCATCACCAGAGCATTTCCAGCACCACCAGTTCCTTTCAACTTTGCATCTTGCATTTTCAGGAACAGTGATAATCTTGAATTTCTGCCAAATTAGAACCCTTTGCACTTGTGCCAGTGGCCTGCCAAGGCGCTTCTGGATCGTCAGCCCCAGCAGCTGCTGATGAACCAGCAGTGAAAATGATGGTTCGGCTCCACCCGAGTGTGCCCTAATTTGTTGTCAGTATTGAACAATCACTGTTAAATATTGCCATGGGATAATGTAGGGCAAGCCATATTTTTGGAAGCAGGCATGATTTAAAATGCAAGGCTCAAACTGTCACTGCTTCACCAGGACTGCATCCAATTGGGCATGTGGCTGGCCATGTTGTTGCAAGTAGTACTTTGTCCCCCGTCACGTTGAGTTGACATGCTTGGGCCTGGATTGAATTTGGTAGGCCTGGGGCACGAAAATTGTTCTGCTGATGACGTGAAGATTTGAACATCCTGCATCTAGCCAGTCCTATTCTGATAAACAGCAATATGTGCTATCCTGACTTCAAGCATATACAGGAAAGTAAATAGACACTCCCAAACAAATTCTTCATAACACCTACCCCAAAAATTGAAACTATCAGTATCTAAAACCAAACTATCAGAATCCATGGCTCTAGGTTCTGCGCGTTTTTTCCACGCAAGTCCGCCATGGGAACATCATATGTCGAAACTCTAATGCCGACATCTCTCATCCATGAGTACAACGAGCTTGATATCAGAGTCTCTTACCCTTTGAGAACCACTTTTCAAATGTTTTTCAAAAGGGAACCAGAAGGAAATCCGCCGTTTCAACAGGACCCTCCAGCGTTTTTCACATGTTGAGTGTTGAGTGACCTCCTTTCGGGTTGTTTCGGGCGATTAGGGGGGGCCCTGGTTTGAAGGGTACCATGGTCGGACACACAGAGCCATTTGCACAGGAAGAAGCTTCGAGACATCGAGAAGTTGAAGGAGAAGGCGTGGTGCGTGGCACGTGGTCCTCGCCGGGTCCCAAAAGGTGATCGCCTTTTGTCCCAACTGGGCAGAGCAATCACCAGTTGAAACCACCAATCGCGGCCAAGCTAAACCGAAACAGGAGGCGGTTCACCAATTCAAACCGAACCATGGCCCCACTTACCCTCCTTTGGAGGTGGGGTGTGCGTGCCCCGGGCTGTGCTTCCAAAGGCCGGCTCAAGTTGAGAGAAAGTGGATGTGTAAACCAACTCGTGTTGAAATGTTTCTGGATGCAGAGAATGTCAAAGTTAAAGTTAAATGTGAGGAAATTGATAATTTAGTAGCTGAAATGATAGATGATTTTGGAGAGAAGTAGTACAAAGTATATTGTATTGATGAGCTTTCATCCTTGTATGTGGTGGGGTTGCAAAGGGCGCCCTCAGAAAACTTGGGGACATGAAAGGGTGGGGAAGCCTACTTGTAGGGAAAGCAATAATATTGGACTGAGGGTGTTGGCCAATTTGTTGAGGAAGGGAAGTTCCCACCCTTGAACAGCCGCCGCCTTTCTGACTTGCATTGTTTTTGCGTATTCGGTGTGCGGGTACCCCTCAAAATACGAGGTTTAGATTGTGACTCAGCAAGGACCCAGAATCGCTTCAGAGCAATTCCTTTGGCGCAGACAAGGGCCGAGTTGTTAAATTTGTTGATGTGGCAGACCCTAACTCGGGTAGGTTCCTGGGAAACGGACAGATCGCACAAGGCGGTTCTTTGACACAGTGGGGAACTCCCGCCCGCATGTGAAACATGTCATGCCTGCCAGCTGAAAAGAATCAGCGTGGTTGACCCGTTTACGGATCCGAACCTCCCCGAACAGCCCCCCAATATGGTCTTTGGTTTTCTTTCAAAACAACCAGAAGGGGTTTCTCTGTTTTGACTCACCCTTTTGACCCTGTAGCTGTCGCTGGGTAAGAAAGGGGTACCCTCGAACAGCGTCCCTTGAAGCATACTAGCTGAAGCCAGTCAACAATCACTGAATTTTTAGGATTCCAGGGAAACAAAGTTGCTCTTGTGATGTATCCTTGAAGAAACCCAGTTGATAGTGTCAACCACTGTAGCTTCATGTTAGCCCCTACGAAGCGAGACACGTTCGAGAGGCGGCGTCTGGCGGGCCTCTGGATACACTGCAGAAGCAAAAGCTGGAGGGTGAAGCTGAGATCCTTCGGCAGAGACTCGGCCAATTCGAATCGACTGGGGCTCTCTCAGTCTCTCTGACCTCTTTTAGCAAGGTGGCTCGGGACAGCCTTTCCGGCACAGGCTATCAAGCGGCACCCCAAGTTAGTAGATGGGGGCAAATCGACTGTCCTTGCAAGGTGCTGGTTTTGGGTCTTTACTTTCATGAGCAAAGGGAAACTGAAGCACTGTGTGAGGGTTTCTTCGACCCCTGACAAAGGAAGGTATTGGAAAACCGGAGGTGTTTTTGAGAAAGCCGTCGTTGTGGGATGCTGGTTGTTTGCTCCGTTTGTGGTCATCCCGGGCTTTGGTTGCCTAGGTCACCCTAGCTTAACCCTCCGCTTTCTTTGGGCAAGCGAGTTTGGATCTTCCACAGTCGCGCTTCCCAAAACGACCACCAAATCACATCCTGAGCGAGCAGATCTTCGCAGTCTAAGAGGACCATGTTGTGCTCCAAATACCCCTGTTTTTTGTTAACACTTTGTGTTCCAAGCATAGTAAAAGCCTCAGTTGCAGTGAGGGGTTGACATCATATCCCAAACACATATCGAGCTCGTGGACAGGCGGGGGCAGCGTCAACGCGGCAGACCCATGGTCTTTATGCGGACGAGTTTGCCGATTTCCCTGCGGGTTGACAGGGTTTGACAAAATAGGCACAAGACAAGACCTCTCTGTTTGTTCGCCAGGTGTCAAAGATTAGACATGGCCATACAGAAGTTGCAGTTCTTCTGTGCATGCGACCCACGATTCAGATAGTACGCTGTGCGGTGGAATGGATGGACGGGCCGAAGGAGGGAATGCCCTCCAGTTATGCACCCGGCGGGTCGCCAATTTGTTTCAAGCCGCAGTTTGCTTCGTTAGTGTGGACCCAAAGGATTCATGCCTCTGACTGACGTTTTTTGGCAGCAGTTGGGGAGAGACCTCCTCCAAATGCCGAGGTTTATCTGCAATTTTGGGATATGTTCAGAAGCGAGGTTCTCGCAGTAGCCTCGTTTCTTAGTCGGGCTGACAGGGGCTGGGCTGGGGGGAGCGGGGGTGCTCCGAATTTGAGAAAGTTCCCCTTCAAAAGTGGTCTGATTCCAACCAAACCCAGAAATGGACACCCCTATGAAACTAAGCTGAACTGGTTGGTTGAGCTTCACATGGGGTCAGCACGCCCAAAACAGCGGACGCCCAAAACAGCGCCGAGGATCCGCGCTTTGGGGGCTGAGCCTTGAGAGCTGCGATCGAGTCGATGCGAGTCGAAGGAGCCATTTTTTTTGTGTAGGCGTACCCCTTTTTGGGTGGCTTAAGCGATAAAAGGAATGGGGTCCCCTTTTTAACTTTTTTAAAAGGCACACCCAGAAAGGGATCCAGCACAACGTGGGTTTCAGGGAATGCCGCCATTTTTTTTGGCTCGGGGTCCCCTTTTTACAGACACACCCATATAGGATCCAGCCAAACGCGGGTTTTCAGGGGTTGTTGTTTGGAGGAATCTCACTGGTTGCAGAGGAAGCAGATTCTGCGTCATTTCTGAAAAGGAGTTCTTGATTTGGATGCAGACCTGGATCGCCAGTTGCTATTTTTTTCCCATCCACTGTACCCCAAAAACCCGCGACAGTGACTGAAACAAACAGCATCTTGGCTATCCAGGGAGGCCTAAGCAGCGTTTGTGCGGTACTTCTCGTCTCTGCGGGGCCTAAAGAGGCCTCCAAAGCACAGCAGCGAGGACATCAGACTGCGCTGGCAAAAGGCGGCCAGAAGTGCATGTGGCCCCGAAAAATGTGCTGTTCCTTTGACTTCCACTGAACTTGGTGGCTCCCAGCCATCCGGTTCCTTAGCCTTTTAGCCTTTTAGTGGTAGTTTCCATTTAACCCACCAAAAGTGAAACTTTTAGCCGGGGATCTGAGGGCAGCCCAGTGAACAATCCGTCTCAGGAAAGGCACCATCAAGGACTGGGGGGAAATGGAGATCCGAGTTGGGCTCAAGATGGGATTTGGTTTGGAAGGTGATTGAGGGAAGCCCCAACACTCCCCTGCCACGATTGGGATGGATCCGAATCCCAACTTTTGGCAACGCCCACTTGGTGCATTCTTCTAAATGGCGTTCTGATTTCTAGAATTCGGCTCGGGCTGGACGCTTAGGCGAAGATCGTTCAGGCGAACCATGGACTACGCCACCTGGACTTGAGGCAGATGGGATGACTTCCCCAAGCCTGGCGTTCGGTTTTGGAACAGACCTGCTGTGTGGCGTTAAGTGAATCTGATTTGGTTTCTTGGCGGCTCCCAGCCATGCGGTTCCTTGTTTTTTTTTTTTTTAGCGTTTTAGGGTTTGGAGGGGGTTTCCATTTAACCCACTCAAGATTAAACTTTTAGCAGGGGATCCGAGGGCAGCCCAGGTTTGAGGGGAACACCTTCACAATGGAGAGCTACACCCAAAAAAGGCACCTGCATCTTCCGTGTGTAAACGAGTTCCAAGGAGGGGTGCAGATGAATTTGACTCAAAAGGACTCTCGGTCTCTCGCAGCCAAATCCCATGGCTCCGTTTGGGGGTTGATGAAAAGGTCCGAGATACATGGGACGACTATTGGTTGGGAATTCACCAAACATATTTTTGATATTTCAACCACATGGGAAAAGTTACCCCATGGTCCAAACTGAAACCCGCCACAGGTTTAGAACTTGTACCAGGGAACCAAGGGAGCCTCTGGGCCAGAGATTCGGAGTTTTGACCATCCCATAGAACCGGCCCCTACACGAAGTTTGTGTAACAACCTGGCGTTCCCTGGCGAAATTGCGTGCCCTAAACAGAACATTGCTTCTGTGTATTTTGCTTCTTTTAGGGGTAGGCCCGGTAGGCCCTTTGTCTGCTTGCCTTCCATGCCAGGTACAACCGCATTGGAGATGCAGGTGCATGCTGCCTCGCCAGGGCCGTGAAGGCACTGGAGACATGGGCGCGTGTTTTTTTTTTTTCCTTTTTTTTTTTTTTCCGTTGGGTACCTGGATTCACCAGTTGCCTTTTTTGTTTGCCCGCGGAACTCTCTGCCTGATTTGGGTTAAGGTGTCTTTTTGCTCGCAGAGACGGTGGAAGCTGGTTTGCCGCCACTCGGCAACTTTCAAGAGGCTGTGGCTGTTCGTGCCTGCCCCACACCCCCACTCAGCCACTCAAAGTGGGTGAGTGGCTATTTGCCGGGCTTTGAGGTAGATGGTAGGATCTGCGGATACTCGGGCTGACAGCCGTTGCGCGCGCTCCTTTTTAGACATCAATTTTAGCAGCTGCCTGCCTTCTCAATGTTGACCACAAAAAGGGCTTAACAGGTTTTTCCTAGTGGGCCAAGAAATGGCAAGTCAAGGCACTACAGTATTGGAGGAGTTAGAGGCGAGGTCTTCTGCGTTTTGGGAATGAATGGATGGTTAGCGAGGTGGTTCCTCTACCCAGAACCTGCAAATTGAGGTGCAGTTCAACTAGATGTGTAAGGGCTTCATTAAATGTTGCTCGTGTGGTCTGTGTTTTCCTGTGGTCATACTGCCATCGGCCAAGCGGAAAGACACGCATAGTTGTGTTTTTGAAGGTAAGACATGATGCAGGTTTTGACACATACCCACATGGCGCATTCGAATGTTGTTTTGGATTAATTGTAAACGCTTCGCGTTGCCCGCCTCGGCCCAGCCTAGTTTGAGGGAAGGGTCAGGAACACCGAAATCCAGTGTTGGGAAGGTCCGAATACCTGAAGCTGGCTTCAGACAAGTCAGACAAGCCGGCCTCGCCTGGTTGGGCTGGGCCACAGGCCAGTCTCAGACACATCAGATAAGCCTGCGCTGGGCCTGAAGCTAGTCTCGGGCAGCTTGGCTGGACCTTGCTTGCGTGGGTTGTTGGTTGAGCTGAAGCTAGTTTACGGCGGGCTGGGCAGCCGCACTGAGGGGGCTGGGCTATGGCTGGGCCAGTTTCAGACACGTCAGACAGGCCTGGCCAGCAGGCGGACTGGGGCTGGGCTAGACGCTAGTTGAGCCCAGGCTGGTGAGGCCCAGTCTCGGCGCTAGATAGCCTGCGAGTCTCAAACCGGGTGGGCTTGGGTGGGGTTGGCTTAGGTAGTCTCAGCCACGAGGCTGCGAAGCCATGGGTGGTGCTGGGCAGCTGGATTATGGTGTTGGTTGCGCCTGGAACTTCGGCTGGCTGGGCTGAGCTGTGCTTGGGCGGGTCGCTGGATGGGCTGAGGCTGGGTAGCGAGTTGCTGGCCAGGCCGGGCCTCAGCCCAGTCGCAGACACGTAAGACACGCCAGCAGGCGGGCTGAGGGACTGGGCCTGAGGCTAGTCTCAGGCTGGCATACCTTGAGACCAGTCTCAGACTGCGCTGAAGGGGCCTGGTCAGCCTGGGCTGCTGAGTAGCTGGCATAGCTTGAGACCAGTCTCAGACTGGTCGTTGGCCTGAGGCCAGTCTCAGACACGTTAGACAAACCACACTGGGCTGAGCCTGCTGGTCTGGGAGTTGGGGGCTGGTAGTGGCTGGCATGCTCTGAGATGCGCTGGGGCCTGGGCTGGGCAGGCTTTTGGGCTGGGCCTGAAGCTAGTCTCACACAAGGCTGCGAAGCCATGGGTGGGTTGCTGGCTGCCGGGCAGCCGGACCAGGCTGCTGGTTGTGCCTGGAACTTGGGCTGGGCGGGCTGGGCTGAGCTGTGCTTGGGCGGGTTGCTGGATGGGCAAGGCCTGTTTCATACACACTTGGGCCTGAGGCTGGGTGGCGAGTTGGCTGGGCTGGGCCTGAGGCCAGTCGCAGACACGCCACACTTTGAGACGGGGCCTGCTGGCTGATTTGGGGCCAGACGCGAGCAGGAGGTCAAGGTCTGGCCAGCCTGGGCTGAGTTGCTTGGGCAGCCGGACTGAGGGCTGGGCCACGTCAGACGGGCTTGGTGGCTGGCATAGCTTGAGACCAGTTTCAGACACCGTTGGCCTGAGGCCAGTCTCAGACACGTTAGACAAACCTGACCTTGGGGCCGGCCTGGCTGGGCTGGGCTTGCTGGATGACTTGGGGTAGGCCTGAAGCTTGGGCCTGAGGCTGGTGGGCTTTGGGCTGGGCCTGAGCCTAGTCTCAGACACGTCAGGCAAGCCTGGCCACCAGGAGGTCATGCTTTTCAGGACAAAAAAGCATTTTTAGCAATTGTCAGCACATTTTCGACAAAAATGGACCCATGGAGCTGGACGCCGACGAACCCCGAAAATTTCAAGGCCCGCCGGACAGGATTTTGGGTCCAGCCGACATGGGTTGGGGGGGGCGGCCCGGCAAAATTTTGGTCGGGGAGGGGGTTGGGGGAGGGGAAAAGCGAAGATTCTCTTTGGAGAAGAGATCTGAGCGCCCTTGGCCCCTTTGGGGCCGAGGCGAATTTAACAACGGACTTGGCTCGATTGGGGCTCGATGTGGGCACTACCACAGCCACTTGCTGTTGAGCTTGGGAGGGGGCCCCAGTGCCAGGGGAACTCGCCAGGCCCCAAGCTTGGTCCATTGGGCACCATCCAAAAGGTTGGGGGTCGCCCACATCTTTTTGGACGAAGCACGTGTGGTTACAGCCTCAATTACCTCTTTTTTTTGGTGGGGAAGGACGTTCGTTTTTGTTGGAGTCTTCGTACCTCTTCTAGGGAATTTTGAAATTATTATTTTTTGTCGGCAGGCCTGAACATCCGAATCCAAGAGCGCCTATCCGAATCCAATGGAGCCTACCAAAAGCAGGGGAGCGGGGGTTTCCCACCGGGCGGATTTGCAGGGCCATGAGTTGGAGATCTTGGACTTGCAGGAGCGGTTTTGCAAGAGGATCTGGGCATGGAATGGGCTCCAAGCCCGCTCCAAATACCCTGACCATGCTGCAGGCCCAGAAAGCCACCCTAAACGTCCCGCAAAGTGGGTCCTAAGAAGGCATTGGGGGGGTCTTGTATACAATATCCTGCAACATGAACAACAGGAACCAAAAATTGGGTCTGACCCAAATGGATGGTTTGCTTTTGGGTTCCGTGTTCATGTGCAGAGTGGTAAGGGTGTTCCCTCAGTTTTGCCCTGCGGGTTTGATGGATTCCCCATCAAAACAATTGGACCCGATCGAAACCTCATTCTTGCAAGTCCTGTGTGGGTTCCGTGTCTTTGGATCTCTCTGTGTCCCCGATTCTTTTGCGCCCCAACACCTTGAAGTTCTGGTTGTTTGAATGGTGCAACATGCAAATTTCCGTGCCTTTCACCCAGGATGGCTTGGGA